TTTTAATTATATTAAATTAAACTGATATTTTTTATTAATATATCGGATGGAAATAATTGAATGTAAGCATTGCAAAATGGAGATTGAGTAGCACAATAAATTGAAAAAGAATGCTTCTAAATCTTAAACGGGTTATGTAACTTATTTATACACATATAAGAATAATATTTCTTGTATTATGAAGCATGTTTTATGATATAGGGATATCTCGTTAGTGAGTACATTTCTTTTGACCAAATAGTTTTCTTAACAACTTGCAATCATTTAGTCATGCAATACGCAGGGCTTTCAGCTTTTAATATTTATTTCGAAAAGGAACTAAAGTAGAGTACCAATCAATTTTTTATTGCCTAAAAGTAATAATGAGAATAGTGAGTCGTCCTCTTCCCCTGGCTTTTCGAGAGTGAACGCTGGTCGCTAAACTGAGCAAGTCACACAAGCTGCTCGCGCAAGTGTGGTTACACCTTCTATATTCTTCCCAACTCAAATCCCCATCCGTGAACCCTACTGCTCCTAGTACAGATGACATTTGCTTGAAGGCAGTTCCTCCCAGAAAAGCAATAATTGAAGCGTGTTAGCATTTTCAAATTGGCTCCTTCTTAACCTAGAGCAGTCTCGTCTTTTAAAATTCTAGTTCCGATTGAAAACATTGATATGTTGTTAAATAAACCATTGCAGCCGATTGGATCCTTAATTAAGGAATTCATCCCTCATGATCGATCCCGTAATACTAATGCAGCAGTCCTTTCCCCTTCAAAAAACTAAATATTTCTTCAGGCTCATTATCTCTCAAAATGCTAGGGGCCTAAATCCAAAGATTCCTTATACTTTGCTAAATTCAGTGAGCACGAAGTTTTCCTATTTAGCCTTCACTGAAACTTGGTTAAAGCCTGATCTACATTCGTCGGAATTTTTCCATAATTCGTTTCAGATTTCCAGAAATGATAGATTGTATCGCAATCATGGTGGTGTTTTAATTGCCATATCCGCGGCAGTCCCCTCCTATTCAATTGAATTTCTTACTACTCCCGACGTTGGATTTATCGCCATTCGAGCGAAATTTCCTAATAAACACTTATATGTGACTTGCTCTTTTATCCCCCTAATTTGGGATACCCCCTTATATAAGAAGCAGGCCGCCCTCATTTGCGAAGTAGCCAAGCAATCTAAACCTACCGATATAGTCATTGCGTCGGGTGATTTCATTTTGTCTCAAGTTACTTGGTGTTACAGTGATAGTTGTGGCTGTTTGATTCCAACTTGAACATCTGATAGAGCTGCTGTGTTCTTTAAGGAATTAATCGACGATTAATTTAGTTGAATACAACGGTAACCCTAATTGCAATGGTAGACTGCTTGATCTTTGCTTTGCCCATTTTCCTGAGATCTATATTAGTTGTTGCCTTCTTTTTAGTTTACCTGAGGGTCCTTACCATCCAGCATTGAAGAACATTTGCAAGCACCACCTAAATCGCTAAATCGCTACTGTTGGCCCAAACCGAAGATTATATAGAATATTCGTGTAGCGGCAAAGGAATGGAAAAAACCAAAAGCTCGTAGTATATAAGGATATTATCTTAGTAATATATAAACTGGGATTATTTGGGAAAAATGAAAATCTCATATTAATCTATTGTTAATTATTTTGAAAAATTGAAAAATTTGATGTTAATTCTTTCCATATTGAACTTGAACTTATACAAGTGCCTTGAAATATAATATACAATCTTTTTTATAATAAATGTATCAAAAATATACTTTTCTGGTCGTACAATAAATTTTTTGGTCGTACAATAAATTTTTTGGTTGTACAATAAATTATTTTACAACTTTTATTTCTAAGAGCTTTATGTAAAATGATACACTTAGTTTGGAATTTCTCGAATTGCAGATACACGAATAAATGAATTGATGAATTAAGCTTCAAAGAGTAGCAGCACTTACGTTCGGGGAATTGTGATACATTATTAGCCACTTGGACAAGCAATTTTGCAGCCAGCAAATGATTTCCCAACTTAATGTGGATGTGTACCGGCGTCTATCAAACGATAGCCTCGCCAACCAGCATTATCCAGCATTGGATATTTCCTTTCAGTACAAACATGATGGTTTGTTGAAATTCTATAACGTTCCCAATTCAATTTTTTCAAATAAATTTTATGATTTCCATAAAACCAGTGTTTCAATGCTAAAATCATATCTTTCACCTATTATGCATGATTTCTCAGTTGGAAGTATTGATAGCTTACTCTCGTCTTTCTACAATATGTTAAATCAAACTATTTCCGCATCCATTCCGATCAAGCAGTCCCGTCCTCGAGGCAGGTGTCCCTCGTGGTTTAATAAGACAACTAGTATATAACAAGAATAGGAAAATAAGGTTTTCAAAAAATTTTCGAAAAGTGATTCCTCTTTCGTCTATTTCGCTTACTCAATGGCAAGGCATAGATTTAATTCCCTCAACTACCAATATCGTTGCAGATACCTTCACTTTGTTAAATCCTCTCTGTTTGCTAATACTAAATACTAATGCTTCCTCGGATGATTTTGAAATCTCAAATCTCTCAAGAAGAAAGTCATTCATTATTCAGTATTTCATTGATTCGGACAAGTTGGAGAACGTCGAGTCGTTCACAGAGTTAGGCTTTCTATTTGACCATAGGTTGTGTTTTAACTTGCATATTGAGCTCTCGTTAAGCAAACCTAGGTCCGCGTCTGATTTTGTAAAGAGGTAGTCCAAAGAGCTTGCTGATTCTTATATTACGAAAAGGCTGTACATGTGTTTGATTAGACCTGTACTTGGGTATGTCTCTGTCGTGTGGTCTCCTTCATATAGGTGCTATGTAGAATTATTGAATCTGCTCAAAAGCAATTCTTGCTGTTTGCCCTTTGGGTTGGGACATGATTGCCTCTCTTGCACCCTATGAAAATAGGTTGCTTCTATTATTCTTACCGTCACTTGAGAAATGTAGATTTGTTCTTGGGGTTTCCTTCTTAATCAAAGTAATAAATGGCAATATTGACTCGCCCGCATTACTTGGTGAAATAAGCTTTGATGTCCCTAATCGCTTCTCTAGGCACTTCATTTTAATTAAGCTTAGCCAATGTAAATACAATTATGAGCTGTTTAACCCGCTCAAAGTTGTTTGCAGAAACCTAAATGATGTCTTTCACTTATTATCATTATCGGACTCTTTAAAGTCTATTAAAGCAACTTTGCTTAATATGCGCAATTTATCTATGTCGTACTTAAACTAACTTTTCATTCCTATATCTCATTTTTCATTTAAAATAATTTTGTGTTGTTAACTTGTTGGTTGCCAAGCTTATGTATGTTTGCAATGGTTTAGGAGTTCACTTGTAACCTGAATCTGTTCATGTTTCGGATGGGCTTTTATGCTAGCTGTGCACATGTTTTTTTTTCTGTTTTTTTTCTCTCTTTTTATTTATTTATACACGAATTATTATTTTTAACTTTTTACTTTATTTTTAAACTTACTTTTTTATTATTATTATTCTTCTCTTTTTCTTCCTTTTTATTGTATACTAATTTTAAAACAATTAGTATAAGCTTTTCTATTAAGATGCATTGAATTCGACTGTAATTTTCTTTAGTTGAATTTCATGTATAAATGGGTAAAAAATAAATATTTGTTTTAAACATAATTTGTCAAGTATACCTAGACTTTTGTGGTAAACAAAGCTATATATGCGAACAAAATCAAGCCGACCATCGCGGAAACTACAACTTTTACGAGCCTTTGTCAGAGAAAACATATGGTTTTATAAGCACATAGTAAATAAAATAAAAAGAAATAAAAATAACTTATTTGAAATTTAAAGGCAATTATTAATTTTGTGTTTCATATTACATTACATTGACGCTTTTCTTATATTATCTTACACGGAATGTCAATTTACCTGTAGCCTTAATTTTGCTTTTTAAGATTGAAATTCAACTTTCTCAGTCATTGGCGCTTTATGCAGATTGGCAAATTATGCGGTTCTATATCTATTCAAACGTATAAAATAAAAAGAAAAAATGCAGTATAAGTGAGACGGTTTATTGTCAATTTAAAAGAGTTACTCAATTTATTTATTTATTAATTTGAAATTTTTATATTCCTTACGATTTGAAATTTTAGGTTATAGTCTGTATTATTTTACAAGAAATGAAGGGCAAGCAATAAAGACGATTTGTTTTGAAGTATATTTTCGAAATCGAAACGTTTGAGCAATGCTTTCGCTTTATTTAATTGCGTCGAAGAAGTCCACCTAATGCATTTTCTCTTAAAGTCGTTTTTGTTCCATCCTTTTATCAACAATCAATTAAAAAGCTTATTTGTTTTTGATATGTGTATTGCTCACATTTACGTTGATGTCTTTAGTTTTACTTCTCATGTCATTTGTAGTTAACATTTTAATCGACTTCTTTATTTTTTCTTAATCAATGATATGGTAGCTTGAATTCTCATTATATTTATCAGTTAGGACTTAACAACCGAAAAACGCAGTCACACTTAGTTATGTTGTCTCGCCATTGCATCATACTTTTTCACCCGTAAACATTTCATTATCTGACAGATCTCATGTGGAGTGGGTTCCAAGAAATAGTCCATTTCTTGTTCCTTTTAGTTCATATTAGGTAAGTAAAAAAGCGTATTTTCTTAATAACTGACAATAATTCAATTAGCAGCCCTGCGAAAGCTTACCAATAAACTGATATTAATGCAACAGAGAGTGAGAGAGAGAGAGAGAGAGTTCAATATACACAATAACATAAAAGCGCTAAGCTTCATTGTGTTCGCGTTCATTGATTTCAATGCATCCAATTTCACTTCGTAGGCGTGATAAAAGCACGACAATGTCTGAGACCTAACAATTTTTTGGAATAGAGACAATTTCGCAAGGAGGGCAAAACAGCTGACTTTATTTTTTTCTCAACTATTGATTTTCGTGTATTTAAACTAACTTCATGATATTTTTTTTCCAAAAAATTGTGCGAGTGTGTAATGAACTATAAACAAATACATTTTGCATTAGTGATATTACAAATATTCTATTTTGGAAAAATTTGTGGAGAAGTTTATAATCCATATAAAATTTTAGGTCTGAACAGACATGCGACAAATCAAGAAATTAGAAGAGCCTATAAACAATTGGCAAAAGAATGGTAAATTTTTCATAAAATTTTTGAACGTTATATTTCCTAATTATTTTAGCTGCTTTTTATTCATAGTCAATCCATGGCGACAACGTGATATTTTCGTTCTGTTTACATTATTTTTCAAAATAAATATAAAAAAGCTTCTTCGTTTTTTCCTAATGGTGGGATATCTACCCATCTGTGCACCTATGTGTGCTGGACATAATTCCAGTCGAAGAAATTACATGAATTGGTTGAAATTGGCAATAATATAGAAAGTTGCTGCACGCGGATTCTTACTAAAAACAGACTAAATCTATCAAGAACATGGCTACAATAAAACAAAAACAGAGAATTGCTCTGTTTTCAAAAGCAAAAAAATATAACTAAATGATCTTTACTCATAAATTACGACAATAAAAATTTTTATAGTCTGTAAGCGATCTCTTGCACAACAAAAGGTTGGTCACGTTCAGGTTTTTTAAAGTAAAGTTGATAGAAAATTCGGCCCCAAACCGAACATAATCTATTTACTTGTTATCGTCGATAATCCGCTGATTAATATTTCCTTATTGAACAATTTGGAGAGGGTGGGTTAATAATTTTGAACCGCATTCTCATAATCGTTTCTTCGAAAACCAGTTTCTGCATGATAACAAGGTCTAGTTTTTACAATTTGTACAGAAAAGTGCTTTAAGGTATTGATTTTACATGTTAACTTTGCCGAAAATAATTTGTTCTTTAATGTTCTTAAAATATTTGCTTGTTTTTCTTTTTTTCTTGTCAGGCATCCTGACAAAAATGATCATCCAGAAGCTGAATCCAACTTTATTCAAATAAAGAAGGCATTTGAGCTTTTGAGCGACAGTGAGCGCCGTCATATTTACGACCAACATGGTATAACTGACGAAGATTCTTATCTATACAAACAAAGACATGATTACAGCCATTACAAAAGATTTTCCTCGGATCTCCTGGAGGAACTGTTCGGAAAGCAATTTTATTTTGATTATGATGTAAGCTTTTATCATAAGCTGACCATAACAACGCAATATTATGAACAAACAATCATTTCCAAAAGCAAATTCGCTCCCTATATAATAATATTTTATAGCGATTGGTGCTTTCGCTGCAATCGTTTAGTTGGAACATTTAAAAAACTTACTGAAATCTTCGAACCTTTAGGTGAGTTAAAAATGATTCTTTATTAACTAATTTGTTTCGCGTATTTTAATCCTTTTTGTTACTTTGAGCAGACAGTTTTAATGGGCTGGGCGTTTACTAAAGATTCTAACGAAACACTGAGTTCACGAAGTGGATTATAGTTCAATTTTTCTGGAATTGCTACGGTTTTTCTAGAAATATGTTCCACGAGATTCTTCTTCAGTCTACTACTCAGAAAAATAAATCTGCAGGGAATTCGAGTTTTGTTTGTTTTATGGTCAAAATAAAATGTGCAATGCTAAGCTAATGCTAATAAGAAAAAATACCATTAATCCGAAAGTTGGCTGTGCAGCTGCGGCAAAGGTGACTGGAAATTGTTTGTCACGCTTCTCTATTTTATTTTGATATATAACAGGATTAGCTAAAGCTTCGACGAAATTTGATAGATCGTCAGGAATATATCATTAGCATACGGTATACTTATGCTGCGGCCGTTTCCGTGGTAACAGCCTGTGTGCTTTTAATTAAAATTGCTTCGCGTACACTCATGTCCATACATGTGCTTTTTTAAAACAAACTTCTCTTCGTCCTCAACAGGACGAACACTATCCCCAATAATATTTTACGCACCGTATCGCCAGGCAGTCCATGCAAGTCAACTTTTACGTAAGTGTCGACGCGCTCATCGCATAAAAGCTGTCCCGATAAGACCGTCATAGGAATAGTGTCGATGTGTATTGGTTCAATATGTACTGGTTTAACCTATATTAACTTTAATTGTACTTGATTTGAGAAAACTTAAGCAATGTAAATCAACTGATCACTTAAGGAGTGACTCTATTTGCCATTTCGTACGTTTACAATATGTTTATCTACAACTACGCGTCGACAAAGGGGAATTTGAAACTTTTAAAACCTGCTTTCTAAATCTATCAATGCCTAACATTTCTAAGTTAAAATTTTGGATTTAAGTTTTGCATTTAAGAAATTAATCGATATCTCCGTGTACACCTGCGACAGCATGGGCACATCAACTAAACTTAGAGAATATTTACTTTTCCTTGAACAATTCTATGTTGAAAGATGGAAAACTCGAAAATATTCAAAATTCATGCAAATGCTCAATTTTCTGCAACTCCCTGTTATGGCTTACCATAAGGCACAATAAAATTAATTTACTGCTTAATTGTTTTTTTCATAGACGATAGTTTGTTTTTAAACATACAATTTATATTCCTGCTTGTTCAATAAATCATCGTCGGTATTATACCAAATGATAGCGATACTACTTTCTATACCATACATCATATGTGATGCAAGTATATATATATAGTTTGTATATCTGCAATATGCAGAAGGACTTGAGATAGATCTACTTTTTACTAATCCGGCCGATCCAGGAAATTTGTCTGTTTGTCTTGTTTTGTTATGTTCAATCTACAAGCCGCAAATTTCGATATATTTTGATGAAATTTTATATTTTGACCCAAGGACGCATTTTGTTTAAAGTAGAATAGATCAGCTGTGTCTTGCGATCGCTCCTTAAATAATGTTTTATTTTGAAAAGTCTTTATTTGAATAACTGTAGGGTGAGAAAAAGTATTTAATTTACCTGTGGGCCGCGGCCGTGGCCGGTTATTATGTTTCTGTTTTGTTGATTATAGCAACACTTTTTGATTAAGATGCCGCTTTCTTGATTGTGATACCAGCTTCTTAGTTATAATGGAAGAATATTACTTTACCTTATAAATATTTTTGATGAAAAATAAATCCCACCCAGAGTTATTTGCTAAAATCAGACTTTCGCAAATATCAAATCAAAAACCTTAAAAACCGATTAGAAGACGTACGACCAAATCCAAAGATTCATAAACAAATGTAATGGGCCACAACATCTGCTTTGAATTATATAGTTCCGTATATATAGTTATAAGTAGACTTTCATTTAAAAAAAAAAGAGGAAGAGAGAAAATGTTCGTAAAGAATAGATGATAGATTAAGAATGGACTAGCAATCTGGATGAGCACCAGAAGAAACACTCCGATTTTACGATACCTTCCGATTACCTCAAACTCAAGGTCGTAATGCTGTGGAAGGCATCATTACGACTGAGGATGCTAATTCAATTTGGCAGTAATCCAGGAAATTCCCGTTAGCAAAAAACAGGGATGTAACCACCTGGAAGAAAAAAACAATGGAAAGTAAAACCATCAAAGCTCCAAACAACTTGCTTTTTTCACCGGTGCCTTTTATTAAAAAAAAGGATGTGGCAATTATAGTTTGTTGGGATTATAGCATATTGACCGAAATCAACAAAAAAGACAGCCGTGCTCTATCTTGGATTGACAATCGTTTCAAATGCGCTTGCTGATAATTGAAGTTCGCGGAGAATGACAAGGAAAGGAAAGCATTTTTCGTAAGCGATTGCATTGAGCAGTGTCCCTTCCACATTTGAGTGTCTAATCGACTGTATACTGAAGGTAGCGTCGTGGGAGGTAGCACTGCTGTATTTGGATAACATTATTACCATGGCAAATATGAAAAGGAAGATGTACGAATTTTGGGAGATACAGTAGGGAATTTAAATTTCAGCTAAAACATGTGCATGTTCTTGGGGAAGTAAGTAAAATACCTTGGTCATAAGGTTTCCATCTTAGAGTGTCACACGAAGGAAGGCAAAATCAATGCAGTCAAACAACGCTTACGATCAAATTATGCGCAAAATTTGGGACTACCAATGATTTCCATTGGCTCTCAATGATTTGTATTGACTTTCACATTTCGCGCTCGTTTTCGCCTATCCAAGCCTAGGAGAAATGTTAATCCTGACTTTAGGTAGGTGTGAGACTGTCAATGAGAATTTTTCGAAAGATGCAGTGCACGACATGCCGAGGCAACGGTGCATTATGAAGCCGCCATGAAAGAAGGTGAGCTGTCTACCGGAGGATAAATTACCTGGGAACGGTTAATAACTAAAACACATAGGATTATAGTGGATGTTTATGGCGCACTTGTCAAAAATATCCGATTGTTACAGGTCCGAAAAGTCTGCTAATAAATGTAAGCAGCTTCTTCTCTTAAAGCTAGTACCTAAACTTTTAAATTCAGCTAGTGTACATTGCACAGTTTTCTTCCATTGATTTTATACAGAATGTACTTATCATAGAAGAAAATCTCAATCATCCCTGGGAAAAGATAGCATAAGGATGTGCTTGAGGGACTTCAAATTTCTTTACATTTCCTTGCCTCTTAGCAAGGGTGCTAATCAACTTCTTCCTATTACGGCTTTGTATGATTTTCATAAATTTTTGGAATCATATTTCTCTTGTGACTGTCTCAGGTCAATAATATAACAAACGCTAATAACAGATTAGTCGTTCTATCTCAGAATTCATATAATACTAAAATTCTACTTAAAAGGGATATACGGTGTTCCTTCAAATAAGCAAATTACCCGCTTCTAAATAAATTCCTATATTAAACTGTGCCTTTCATAACTTTGCCAGCTTGGTTGCACGCAACAGCGCGCAAACGCTACAATTGCGACGAAGTTGGGTACCTTGCTCATGAATGTAAATTTTGGAGGCACTTGGAGGTAATGACGCAAGAATGTAGAAAAGATCGTGGAGGACGCATGCCTGGGAAACAGTATGCGAAAGAAAAAATCGTTGTCCATCGGATCAAGGTAGAAACAAAACACCAAGGAAGGCCTACGAAACGCGCAACTGGTCGATGACGGTCTTAAGGTAATAATAGGGAGAGTCTAGTTATCCAAGGCGGATGTCTATGCAGGATATGGTAAAGTAAAAACTGTTTACTCACACAAGAAAGTTGTTGGTGGTTCCGAAAGCAAAGAAATCATAGAAGAACAACAAACCGAGAGCACTTTGGCGATACGAAAATTGTTAAGCGGATTAAACGTTAATTCTACTGGGTAGGATGCCGGAAATCAGTAGCAGCATATATTCACAGCTGTGAGAAAAGTGGTAAATTAAAAGAAGTGAAAAATGAGTTGAAAGGCCAAAGGCGGCCAAAATGATTTACAGACAGTAGTTAAAAAGAAAGTGTGAAGTTGAGGGCCGGAAAGGATCGGAAGGAGATCACTGTCGACGGAGACCGCCATCACATAGTGACAGATTGTCAGCAAATTTCCAATCTAAATAGGAAGGACCGTACAAAGTTATCACGAGAATAACTGGTAGAGTCGACCGGACCTGAAAACATGGGAAAAGCGAAGCTACAAGCAAGGTGGCACACGAGAGCGAACTTATAGCTTTTGCAAATGACCTTCGAGACCAAAAATATTAAGTGGAGGACAGTGTTACGGAAATCCCAAATCTAGTTTCATTCAAACCAATTGATTTTTCCAGAAAGTAAATTTTTAAAAGAAGGGGCAAATTCATGCACCTTCCGGCCGACGAAAAAGATTAGCGGAAAACACATCAATTATTTTAACAGAATATTTGAGCACAATGAGTTAATCGGAAGAGAAATTTGAGTGGAAAAGAAAGTTCAAGTTAAGAATGCTGTCGAACTAAGCACTCTGTGAATAATCCTACCCTTAAAGAAATTGATGGCAAATAAGTGCATGATGTAATAATATGAATCGCATTTTCATAAGAATATATTTTTTTTAAATGAATATCACATTACAAATTATTTGTATTTGAAATATATGGAATCATTCAGCCACAAAATGGAAGTGAGCATAGTTTTTCTGAAACGTAAACCCTATGTCAATCTATCGTCTTTTATCTAAAGTCAGTATTGATAAATATCTTTGTTTTTTGTTTAAAGGTATCGAATTCGCTACAGTGAATGTAGCGCTTGAACAACAACTCCTTCGAAGAACAGGTGCGACTGATGTACCAAGTTTGGTCCTTGTATTAAATGGCCATTGTTTTGTATACCGTGGATCTTCGTACATGCCACATAATATTATTGGTATGTACTGTCACTAAACGTAGCGTTATGACAATAAACTTAGCATTTCAATTTTACTTGATTACGGTTTCAGAGTTCATTAGGAAGAAAATGCCATATAATTTGACTCCAAAAGTACAAGATGATACTATTGTTGGATTTCTTTCTGGTTGGATAGATAACCGGATTAGAGGTTTAGTTATAGAACCAAGAAATCAGACTAGATTGCGTTATTTGATAGCAGCATATGCATTTCAGCAAAGGGTTGCTTTTGGGTAAGTACAACTTATTAGAAAATTCGAAAATCCGCGACTTATCCATTTTTTTTTTTAAATTCTGCACGTATCTGAAGTATGCTTTCTCCATGCATTTTCTTTGGTGAAACTTTTTCAATTGAACTTGCCTTTTTTAACGGTGCAAGCAAAGTGTCAACATAATATTCAACGATAAGTTTTCGAGCACGCCAATTTGTAGCGCGCAGAATCTCACATGCCAGATCTCTTGCGCTATTATGCAGACATATCCGTTGCTCTTTTTCCCATAGGTGTAAAGATTCAAACAGAGATTAAGTGCAGGTAAAACTTAAAACAGTTCCTTCAATGTGAGATCAAAGTTGTTTAAACGAAACATGTATGCAAAATTTGAGCATAATCAGATGTTCGCAAGTGCACGATTGACAATTTCGCGTCCAGCATATATCTTCGCTGCCGTCATTTTTGTACCGACTGTACTACTCATTATTGCGTCGTAGCTAAAGTTGCGTACAATATTTGAGGATGATTGGATGTATAGAGGAAGTATTCGAATATCGATTAGAAGTTTGGTTAAGTTTATAAATAGAGCATTTTTATATGGTACGTTTTCATGTCTATTCTATTTTTAAAAAATGAAGAAAAATTTCAACAAATTGAAAAGGGACAACAACGCCTTATTTTGTGACGATTGAGGTTCGCCACTTAAAACATTTAGTACATCGCCAGCTCAAGGATTCATCATTTCTAGTATAAGCCTTTTTTCTTCGCTACTGTCTAGGATACGACTTTCTAGTTAATTTTTTCGACCGTTAGTTCATATTTTTAGTGATGTGTTCTGCGCTGTTTGATTATTCAGGCCTAAAAGTGACGAAAAAACGATTGCTAGACTTGCTCGTTGCCAACAAAAGCAAGCAAGAAAGTTATATTCGACGGTGCCCGAATCTCCCATACCCACATCCATATCGCTGGTATTACTAAAAAAAAAGTAATCACGATCTATATTATATTAATTTTAGAATGAACCCCTTTTCAGGTAGATAACATATCTTCATTTAAGGAATGTGCGATATAGTTGTAAACATTTTGTCTTTTTTGCGTTATGATAAATAAAAATAACACTTCAAAAAATGAAAAAATATAATTGAATCACTTGTAAATTTGCGTAGACATGCCCGTTTTACGCTATTTTTGCACGTAAAGAGTAGAGTGTTTCGCAAAGTAAATGTGGAAAATCTCAACCTTCTAGCTTTTATAATTTCTGAATAACGACCGATAACCCACAAATTTTTATTAAGAAAGACGAAGTTGCCTTCAGTTTATGCTCGACTACGGGTTTCTGCTCGACTACGGGTTTTGCTCGACTACGAGTTTCTACTCTGACCGATTTGTCCCATTTTCAATAGCAACCTGCGTGCTAAGACTTCCACTTTTCCTACTAATTGTAAAGTGGCTATCTTCAGTTACATGACCAGGAGAGTGCCAAGACCAAACACCGCACAAGGGGACAGACATGGGTAAGTCAATTGAACGCCGTTCTAGAATATATATATTTTATAGGGTCTCTGAAGCTTCCTTTTGGGTGTTACATACATTATGAAAAAAAAAACAAAATGAGGATATGTTCATCTCATAGTGGTGGTTATGAATTACAAAGATAAATAAAATAAACGAAAATATGTAAATAGAGCAATTTTTGACATTTCTTATTGAAAAATATTTAATTGAAACAAATATTGCATTAAATGAGTGCATTTTGGTGTACAATATTTTTTGTTTTTCCACCTATCGCATCGTCTGATCGATGAGTTTCTGATATGTGTTGTGCAGCTCTATCAGGCTTACCGGGAACAATAATATCTCGTGACCCCGAGTTACTTTTGTAGTCAGTTACTAGTTTGTTACTATTTTGTAGTCAGTGGAGTCTATATTTTAGATTAATTCTTTGATTCAATTTAAACAATTTATTATCTTGATTGAACAATGCTTGTAGTTCACTAGTATTTGTTTATTGCGGTCCTACAATCACTGACCCTCAAATGGTGATCAATCCGCTTACTTTCATCAACAAAGTTCATGCACGGCCATTAATTAGCGACATTAGTTGCCTTAATTGCTTCAGATAATTTTTCGAAACTCTCAGTGCCGTTATCTTTATAGTGACAACCAATGATTGCTTTACGGTTCTGTCATTTTTTTACTTATAGTTGTGTTTAATAGCCTTTGCGCGCGTTGCAGCCATACATAATAATATTTAATACTGTCTTCCTATCGCCATAAGTATAATTTGGCTCTCAAATGAGTTTGGACCATGTCAGTTCGCTTTTCACGTCGACTTGAGGTCGTTCTTGACTTGTTGTAATGTTTTTATTTGTGGTGACAACCAACGAAAATTCATATAATCTACCATATTTCGCCTGCACTTCGTTCTTCATACTTCTAATCACAAGCATATTCTTATACCACCACCCAGCTCTCTAATTAATCTCTAATTCTAAGAAGTTGCGTTGTAAGAATTCACGTCAGCTTATTAAATGATTTAAACCAATAATTTTTTTTTTATATGTAAGTTCTATGATTAAACTTGTTACCTTTAACCGCTTCCTACTTCATTCAAGAGATTAGACTTTACCGATCGCCATTTCGTTTCTATAGCCTTCCATCTATATATCTCGTTGTATCGAGCTCTCTCATTAACTTGCAGAAATTAAAGCTCAAGCGAATTTTGCACGATTCCCAATAGGTTATGCTTTGTAATAAATTGTTTTTAGTGGATGTTTAAAAAATCAGTGCATTTTCTGTTTTTTTCGGCGTTTTTTAAAATGAGAAAGTTATTGCTTTTATGTCAGGTTATTTAGTTATCTCCTTCATCATTATCCTTTTTTTAATATTTTGGCTTTTGAAATAATTTTGAATTCATAAATCCAATTTGTTTCTCTAGATTCGTAAATGCAAACTCAAACTATTGTAAGCAAATTCTCCAACGCTATCAAGTGCATCCTCACTTAGACACACTGCTACTATTTAATGAAGATTCTGAGCGACCTATTGCCAGCATATCCATGTCAAATATTCCGACTGAAACTTTAAATAACATCATATTATCTAATCAGTACCTGACTTTACCGAGATTATCGTCACAAGATATTTTGGAGGGTAAGTATTCAGAAAAAAAAGAAATACATTCTTTTCTTTTTATAAACATGATTTCTGCATAAAATAATTTAAAATAATATTTTTGAATATATAAAAATTACAGTTTTTATCAAAATTCTTACGTGAAGTGGTATATGAAAAACAGATCTATTTGATCCAGATTGGATGCGATTGGTTTTTGAGCCTTTTTGTTACAGACCTATCCTCCCTGTAAAGTGCTAAAAATTAGATCGTTACCTCACATAAGGATTTGCTTTTCGTAGGGTCCATTATATATGAGGAGAGTTAAAAAAAAGCCCATCGAGATCTACATTTATCACATCAATTTAGTATGCCAAAATACTATTACTTAACGATTTTTGTCGAGAAATTTGAACTATTTAATATAAGACGCTTTATGCGGAGTGATCGTAGAAACGTCCAGATCTAATCAATTTTACATCCGCACAAATTTCATAAATCACAGGTGGTACAGGGAGTAAAATAAAATATATTTTTTTTCTTTATTGTCAACGAAGGGGAATTATTTGCGTTTTGTACAGAAAAATCACTTTATATAATTCCTCCCAAATATTTTTGAACTTGTTAATCTAATTGTGTGATGTTTCCTTCCTTTTACGTGAAAGAAAAGTGCTTAGTGGTGTTACCATTATTACGGTGACTATGAGTAAAGATGCTGTTTACCACCCACTATGCATTATCATTTTCAGTTAATCTTAAACAAATCCATGTGGGACCCAATCATTCTTGTTGCATAAATTTGGCTGTTGTTCCAAGCAACACAGAGTGTACCAAAAGTCAGCATATTTACTAATTTGCACGAGTATTTGCATGTGAGAACGCTATGTTTGAATTGGGTGCCACTTTTCTTCATATTTTCAACAAGGTGTTGATTGTTCTCAATGCTATTTGGCATTGTTTAGACGAAATAAAAAGCATTTTTCATGCGGTATGTGGCAATGGATGAAGTATAGGTTCATCACTACACTCCAGAATCAAGTCAGCAGTTATCTCAGCGGACAGGAAGTGGCGAAAGCCACCCAAAGTGACCAAAAAGTTATATTTCAAAGCAATGGTAATTTGCAGAGTGATGGTCGAAATCTCATGAAATTTCGGCACGTATCGTTTGAACATTTGGAAATCATGTGCGTTTCTCAGTTGTGTTGTTACCTACACAAATACGTGACCGGACAGTTATTGATTGGTGTGATAATTATTTGCCTATATTCTTTTCAGGTCTTTGCCCAGCGGAATGGAATCGTCCACGTAAGAGGTTGTGCATTATTTTAGTTACAGAAAATTCAAAGGAACATAATTTCGCGCGAGAAGCACTGCGAAATATTGCTCGCAGAAGTGAATTTAAAGCCGAAAGGGTTCGTTTCGCCTACATATTCAAAGTACGTATTCGATTGAAAATATTTGTGTTGCTTCTGTCATAGGAATATATTGGGTGCTTGCCTTAATTTTTGTAAGTGATTTCTACAGATGGAAATGATAAAGTAATGCGAAGTATAATATACACAGTGGTTAAATTTGATGATCTTGACCTTCCTTTATAAAAAATATCAGTTTTCCATTCGGTATTATTGAGTTATTTAGTGTATGCAGATGCTAATCATGAAACGTTTAAAATCAATCGCAAAAAGTTGTGGGTTAGTCGAAAAAAGCCATTAACATCGCCACTGAAGCGGAATATTCGTGGCCGTAACCTTTTGCTGTGCATATGGTGGGTGTGCTATATTACGACCCTTAAAACCCCATGGAACTGTTGCTCTAGATGTCCACCGAAGTCAGTTGAATAAACTGAACGATGTATTGTTGCAAAAAAGACCCGGCAATAGCGTCTAAAATAGTTATCATACGAATTGAGTGAAAACGCCGCTTTTGCCAATTGTTATAATTGTTGTAAAGGATCCACTGTTGCAGCTTGAAAGAAATGCTCGGCCGCATCCAGCATACTGACCAGAGATATCACCTTCTCATTACTACTTGTTCAGATCAGTTCAGCTTGGCCTAGCTGGCGGCTTCGTAAAACTGACACTTTTTACGCGGCATCGTCATGTTACCAGAAATAAGGGAAAAAGGGCGGAAAATGGTTGAAAACATTTTGATTAGTATATATTGTAACAATCTTTTCAATAAATGCCTTTTTGAAGTTGAAAATTAGCCAAAATTAATGCAAGCACCTATCACGTATACGAATCAACTGCCGTCCAGCATTTGTAAAATCATTTTATTTCACAGAAGTAAATAGAACACCGAAAGAGTTTGTTTGGCCTATATATTAAAGCATATGTTCGATTGATTGCTTGCTATCTGTAATAAGAATATACTGACTGTGATATGAAAAACTGATGCTTCCATTTTTAGTTTATAAGAACATTTTTGTTTTGAGTTTTCAAAAGTCAAAATCCTGTATTCGGCGCCTTGACTTAAAGAAAGCACTATGTTAACATTCAAAAAAATATATAGCAGAAAATTGACGGAAAAAATCGGTAGTATTAGGCGTGCAAAATACTTGCAATTTAATTCTAATCGCGTTCCACCTCGCTATATTCAATCCAAGTTAAAAAAATTTGCCTTGACGATTACTCCGGGGGTTCCTTAACAACTCTTCGCAATTTTCATTTGCAGACGAGGTGTTATGATTAAACATATACCTTGTATATGCAAAAACTTTTCTAATGTTTGAACATTCGTTTTCTGAGAGTCTAACCTTATGGCCCTCTTGAAAATCCTGTGGCCAATAAAAAAAATATAATATTAAACTTTATTAAAGGGAGTAGACCAACCATCTAGTCTACCTTCAAAAAAAAATTGTAGTTAGTAATAGAATTTATTTTTTTGTCGTAAATAAATTAGAATAATAATAAAACTGGAACAAATGCAAAGATAAAAACTTTTGGGCGATCTAATTGCACACGTAGTAGAACGAAAAAAATCTTTCACGCCTCTACCGTTTCATGCCTATTGACGTTTCGTTTTTTTTTTAAGAATAAGGTTCTGAGAGCAAAAGTTGCAGTCTAGCAAGAACGGATTTGATTTTCTTACTTCTTAATTTTAGCTTTACTTAAGTCTAAGGGTACTAAGTCTTACAAACTATTGAGTAGATAAGTGTCGTGACTACTAAAACCATAGTTGCGAGTTCAAATCTCAGGCCGTTTTGACCATGCATGGTTGTACCTGCAGTGCAGGAATAGTAATTGCCGATTGAGCATACAATCACTAGACTGCAGCTATTCCCTTTCCACTTCTTCCGTACTTCTTTCGGAAAAGAGTAAGGGTTATAACAGTGGCTGTTAGAAAGGTTAAGCATCCCACCAGGGAACAAATCGATAAGGAAAGTTCCATAACAAAAGCGTATTGGGCTCAAAGGGAAAGCATTATTTGCGAAGATGGATGTCTACGGCGGATACGTCACAGTAAAAACGGTTCATCCACCACGAAGTTGTTGGTGGTCCCAAAAGCCAAACCCGAAGAAATCGTTAAACAACATCACAAACGGCCAAACGGAGAGCACTGTAGCGTCACAAAAACTTTGAAGAGATTAAACGGAAATTCGATTGGACAGGATGCCGGAGATCAATAGCAGCATTGATTCATAACTATAATGAATGTAGTAAATCGAAAGCGGCGAGAAATAAGCTATAAGACCAGTTTCGTTCAAGGAAACCTAGTCCAGCTGTATAACCCGTCGTGCAGTGACAGTTTATCGCCAAATCTGCAATCCAACTGGAGAGGACTCTACAGAGTTATCTCGAAGATAATCGACAGAGTGAATCAGGTCCAGAAAAATCCGAAAACCTAAACTATGGTTGAAGTGGTACCTGAAAGTACACTGGTACCTTAAAAAAATTACCTTACCCTCAAGTGTTGAAAATTCCAACATTTGGTGAATTTTTATGAACACTAATGAATTTTCTAAAAAACCACATTCCAAAGAAAGAGAAACCCAAATAGACATTCATAACGTTTTACATTTACTAGAACGTTTGGCTCAAAAAGTGATTAACACAAATATGTGGAAATGAAGTCAGGTATTGGTAAGTTGTTTTGAAATCAGAATATTTGCAGAAGGCCAATTGAGTTAAAAGAAGCACTTTAAATATAAATCCTTGAGAATAATTTGTAAATTATTCTTTTAAAGATTGTAAAACCTACACTGTCCAAGAAATCGCAGCTCAGTGGTACGAAATGAGTCTGAAAAGAAGTCGTACACAAATGTAAAATACACAAAGATAGGTTTATGTTACAATATCTTTTTGTGAAGAATGTACAGAATAATTTTTAACGTTATGTATTGTGTCTTGTTTACCTTATCAGTAATAAGCAGAAAAAGTAAAAAAAGTGAAACCAAATAAAAGTTACATCTCTTATAACTCTTTGCGGGCATGGCCGATTTTTCCCATTTTATTTTAAGATGAATTAATTGTGGTGTCCTCCACAAAGTAAGTATAGAAAATTTCGGCCGTCTATCTCTCATAATTTATGATTAATAAGCACAAACCAAAAATTCTTGCTTACAAAAGGAGATGTATGTTCAGGTTGCGCTTCACTGCGCGCGTACGCAGTCCCAGTATCCAATTTGCCCCATTTCCGATACTAACTTGTGCGTACCGCTTCCAATCATCTTGCCAAATTTGATACAGATAGTTTCTTTTTTGCTATGAATATGATGAGCTGACTGAAGGACCGTAAAAGATTTTTGGGCTATTAAGAGTACTGATTTTAAGGATAGAGGATTAACATTTTTCAAAACCCTTCTCAATGCAATCAAAAAATATACGCTAATTTTCTTTTTTTTTCAGGAAAAGCAAATCGATTTTATTAACGCTTTATCGCGAGGATCCTCTGATGATAAACTATTGCGAATCGTTATCCTGTGGAGGCGAGATACTTCTCGCGTTAAATATGAATGGATAAATGATATTACTTTGAATAAAAGATTCGCGGACAACCAGTCGTTAGACCGCGTAATTAATCAAACTAAATATCAGATAGACAGCACAATTCAAAGGTTATTGAAGACTTCGGAAGCGCTTACTTATGAGGCTTTTATTAAGGTAAGAATGATATACATGAATAAATAGTTATATCTTCTGAGCCGTAAATACGGAATTTTTCTTTTATGACATCGTAGTAAGTTTATATAGATTATAATCACATAATTGCTTCTGCGTTCCTTTCGGAAAAGATTTTTTCTTTAAAAAATGGATCGTCGTATTTCCTTGAGTATTTATACGGGACATTAAAATTGTGGGTATCTGAAAGAGCTGGATTTCGATGCATTTCTGCCCGACGGCTTCCAGATTCTACTCATGTAGAGTTAAAATTTCCCATTTTGCTTGGCGCAGTGTAGTACTTCGTTAACTTCTTATTTTATCCGTCACATAGTTCTCAACTTTATAGAATTGTGTTGAGCAGAACCAACTACATCAGAAAATGTTGTAAAGTTGTAAGATTGCAAAAAATGACATAAAATATTCGAACAAATATTTATGCGAAATATTTTTCTATTTCTACACACCGCCTGTCTATCTTTTCTATCACCTGTTATACTTTTTTAATTTGTTGGATTCCACAAATTCTCACCTTTCACGATACACGTTCTATTTATTAGTGGAACAAATAAGTTTTATCGCGACTTTGATTGTTGCAAAGGTCTTTTTAATGCATTCGTTGCTGCTTTTGTTGTTAGTACAGATGAGTATATCACTCATGTAAATTGCTGCATCTAGTAGACCTTTCGTTGATATTTTGTAATAAACACAAGATTCAGATTTGTTAAATTTGTTGTTCTGAATTCTATTGGCCTGTTTCAGGCATTATAAAAAGTTCTGCAATCTACAAACGTTTCCTCGATCAACGTTAAGACTTTCATTTACGTTCGTGTAAATTTCCTTTCCTACATCACTATGGAGGAAAGCAGCAATCTCTCCATTTAATCAATGTCAAGGTCATATTGGACGGCTAAGCTAAACAGTAAACGCATGGACGGGTTTCTTGCAACTGTGGAATACGTTTATTGATAATCGACGCCATAATCTTGAGAATCATCCTTTGCCATTAATCTGACTTTGTTGTTGGTCTAGTTCGACCAAGGAATTCCGCTTTATTTTGGAATTTTCTTCCATATTTTTTTATTTTATACATAAATTTGATGTTTGCCATTAATTGGTTTCTTCGCTGCGGACAAATCAGCGAATTCTCATGTGTCGTTATAATAACGCGAACTTAACTCTTCGCTTAAAGCCTTTCCGGATTTTTCAATGCTTCTCATAAATGCTTTAGTTCGTCCTTATTGTTCACGTAACTTTTGCATTGGTTTCTTTTAACGTGTTGATCCTCTTAATTCATATCTAGATGCGATCTCTGCTTTGGATGAATAATTGTATACTTCTTCATTTGAACTATGGAATCTATCGTCACATAACTTTTAGTCCCCACTGAATGGCGTCGAAGAAATTATGCTCATTCTGTTCAACTTTGTCTGAAAATCTCTGTTCAGGAAACTTAAAATCTTTACTCATAAATACGATTTGGTTGTTCGGAGCATAAAATCGCGAAGCAAGCGAACGTTCAGTGTAACCAACGAACGCAGCTGCTTTGTCTTTTGGACTCTGTTTGTTCCTTTTCTATTTCGGCATGCCACTTACTTCTTTGCAACCAAACGTGCTTAGATGATTTAAGTTTGGCTTTCCATCGCACCATATTTCTCCCGAAACGATATTCATCGTTTACAGCATTCTCTAGTTGTAAATACAATCTTTTAACCTCTTTTCTATTTCGCAGATGGACAATGAGTTCATGCATAGTTCCGGCACGAGCAGTAAGTTATTAAATGTTACATCTTCCTTTTTAGAACCAACGTCTGCTTCTGTTTCAACAGTCCCTACTGCTTCTGCATTATTGAACTATACGCTTTGAAGATATCGGTATTCTTATGTTGAACAATGTCACTAAATTGCGATTTGTCATTGCATATCTATATGCGCATGCACCTGAATCAAAGAAAAGTTTATTTCTATTCACTTCATTTGCCGTAAACAATCTTTCTTCACCGAATTTATTTTGAAAGTTAAGTGCAATATTTTTGACAAATGTAACCTTTTCGCCACTTCGGTTTATATTTCTTCTTTTGAGCTTAAAGAACAGCGTCTAAAGTATCTTCTGTTTTCACTTCTTGCAATAGTTTTAATTTAATTGCGTCGATAGTTATCTTTGTTCCCGAACCTTGAATTCTCACAGTCATCCGTTTGTAGTCTTCTCAGAGTCCAGCCAACATCATCGAACCTATCGAGTCCTTGTCTAGCTTAAGCCCAGCGCTTATTAATTTATGCGCTGTGGTAAGAATTTCGTTTACATATTCATCAGCAGAAGCACAACCGTTAAGCTTGCTGAACAGAATCTTTGTATATGGCTGACACGTCTTACTAAAGCAGTGTCTTCGAAGAGGCTGCATAGTATTTTCCATACTTCATTTGCAGTTTTACATTCACGAATATGGGGATATATTTTTTTATGTATTTTCAAAATTAATTCAACCTTCGCCTGAATAAGTTTTTCTTCATTCAATTTATCTTCTTTCACGAGTTTTCATACGTCTTTCATTTGTAGATAAGCTTTCGTAGAAATTTTTCAGTCTCCAATAAATAGTTTTTACGCAAACGTTCTCCTCGTAGTGATCAAAATGGAAGAGATCTTTCTCTGCTTTTACAAGTCATTATTTCAGGAGCGATTAAACGAAGATATGTGTACGTTTTTCCAAAGCAACACCATTATTACTAAAAAATTTCAAATACTCCTCATCTTTAACGCAATCAAATGAGCTAATCTTTTGTGGTTGTATGTGTGTGTGTGTGTGAGGATATGAGCGATAGCATAAAGCTTTAAAAACTACAATAATGTGCCATCAAATGAAAAATTGGGCGTAGTATGTAACTCTGATTTTGTTAGGACTTCGTCTAACTTTTTTAGAAGACTCGAAGGCATCACTAGCAGAATTAGTCGTTGGTATTAAGGTTTCAAGCTGGAGTCGTCGTAGAAAATAAAAATAGTAAACTTGGGAACGACTCGTTTACTCAATTACGCAAATACACGATTAATCTACGATCTTCACTGCCACCTTAGCATACATGCGAAGCGAATCTCTTAAAATTTTGCAGAAGGCTTATACAGAAGAATAGCTACCAGCTGAATATGACACAGTCAAATATATTCCACAAAGCCGTTTTGTAGCTTTCCGTAGCCACTGTCAGTGGGGGAGAACCAGCAATTCGCTAAGAGGTGCTTATTGTGAAAAACAACAATCATCTTTTGTATTGAAAGTTGTTAACAGTTGTTAACATGATTTTTTTTTAAGTTCCACTCTACATGTAGCGATTCATCGCCTGGTACTTTTTTTTTTATAATAATTTTTAATCATTACACCAATCATCGATTAAAATAGTGTAGTTATTATATTCATTTAAAATTAATTTGATTACCCGTAACTTTGCGTGGGCACGGCCGATTAGTTCCATTTTTGGACCTAGAGAGTAAACCGTCTCGTCTCGTAAAGCAAATGTGGAAAATTTCAGCCTTTTTGCTTTAATAATTTTCGAATGACGAGCAAACATCCATAAATTTTTGTTAAAAAAAAACTGGGTTGCGTTCACTATACGCTCCACTATGCGCTTCTGCTCTGACCAATTTGGCCCATTTTCAATACCAATCTGCGTACGAAAACTTCCAATGTTTCTATCAAATTTCAAATTGAATTGAAATTAAAGGGTAAAGTGGGAGAAGGCTTATAGTTAATAACCTTTAATCAGGCAAGACTTGTCTAAAGAGTTGTGTTCACTCGAACCAGGGGAGAGACGCACCATCGTTCTACAGTCTTCGGTATACTTAGGAGAGCCACCAAAATTGAGACATCCGCTCTCGTTGGCTTTGCAAAACTTCGGCACACATCTACCACACTTAAAGGATTGGTGTAAGATGGGTACAAAGTAATTCACAGGGACGTTACAAAAATTAAGCTTGATAGACTTTGCAAGAACTTTTCACTTGAAACCAATCTTAATGGTAGTTGTCGAAATAAATTCATCCCTCTTGATGGGATTCCTTCTTCGCAGCTTAAAGGCTGACTTGATGAGTTCATCAATTTAGCATTTTCGATAATCCACTTTACCCAATATTCGATAGGCACGTTACAAAAAATTGCGAATCTTCCTATGACAACTCTCGAAATGTACGCTTCCAAATTTTTCTTGCTGAAATCATTGTTGTTAGTGAAATTGTTCGCATAAAGAGGGGAGCTATAAAATAATTTGGTTCCACTCTTACTATTCCACCAATATTGAAAGATGGGGGATAACCAAAAAAGAAAAGATGCGAATTGATATTCATACGCACTGCCTCGGCATTTTCACGAGTTTCAACAACACCGAAAAAATTGCATTGCAAATTATAGTCATAAAAAATAATTTCATGATTTGGAATAGCTTTCAAATCAGAAGGCTTATCAACTACCTGGTTACTGAGCGCTATGGAATCATCGGCTAAAGGAGATAAATCAACTTCCATCCCCAGCCGTCCTAAATCTCTGATTATTCTTAGTGATATTGAAATAAAAATTTTCAAATACATCTCTACCTGCAATAATCGGATCAGACCCTGTGTCCATAGGGAGGCAAACTGATGTTGTTTATCTGACAAAAGAATAAAAATTTTACTCGAAAATGAATTCACTAAAGATTTATATCAATCATTAATGTTTTTTATTTTAGTTTATTTTCCAAAAATTCTCTTTTTTTTGTCTTTTTTTATCTTACTTTTATTCTTTTTTAAATCCTTTCTTTTTTTTCACTAACACAGAAAGGACACATCAGAAAATATTTTTCAGCTACCGTTTGTTGAATGTCGTGTTATTTCAAGTGTTGATTGTGAAAGAGTGAATGAACTCAATATATACACAAAATTTTACACTTATATGGTGTGAGCACATAATAATTTTAGCTTAAGAATTATTATACAAGTATATTTTTATATTTATTTTTTAATTATATAGTCTGGGTCACAAGCAGTCGATGGGATATTCTATGAATTTTTGTTCGCTAATCGATATAAAAAAGGCTTATTAATACATTTTGTCGAATATTTTTAGAATCTACTTGATGAGCATGCTCAGGATTTTATAAATAGATGGGTATCGAAAATTTTTTACGTATTCGATTATATAATGGACAATATAGAAAAAGAACACATTCTTGCGACAATTTCATTGCTAGGAACAATCGTTCTCATGTTTGCTGTTGGATACGCTATGGTTTATCTAGTAAAAGCGGAAGAGGAAAGTTTAAAAGCCAAAGGAAAATTATCCTCAAATGTGTGTAAGTACCAATCCATTTTTAAATAATACCTACTAGTTTTTTCTGATTTATTGGAATCAAGGAAAGAAAATTCGGACCATTTATAAATTCTGTGGACATTGCAGATATTCTACTAAGACCCTAGATTTTGATTAGGGTCAAAATCTCTCACTTTTGAAACTTTTCTTTTGATTTAAAAAAGTAAACGTCCTAAGATCTTGTTGCCGATTATAACGAAAATTTAGGTTTGATGATGGTATGATCCAGCTTGTTTTAGATTGAGTTTTCCTGTAGAATATCTGTTGTAGGAAGTTATTAACGATTATTACAACAATGCAGTCGAAGAATGTTGATTCGAACTATATACATTGACATTAGTATTACTAGAGCTAACTTATAAGCAAATAACTTATAAGCAAATTAGTTCGACGAGTAATTAATAAGGAGGAAAGGATCAATGTTGGCAGAATTGAAAATACTATATAAAAATAGTGAATTTAAATTATAAAAAATTGAAAATTTGTGAAACATATTTTAACATTTATCGTAATCTGAGCCGGTGTGTCCAACATCCTCGCCTAAATTGTAGTCGTCACAAAGAATAATCTTGAAAACAAATTTAGAATTTCTCCGAGAGATTTCTTGTTGTATGCCCATGATATTATTAGGAATTAGCGTGCTGAGAAGTCCCCATATGTGAACCAACTACACTAGACATGCCGAAAGTTAGTAGCTTGCGTTTAGCCCACTTTTGGGTTATATCTGATGCATCAGTGAAAAAGCAAATACTTCTCGATAAGAGTCGAACATTTCGTTTGATGAAAGTACCTCATGCAAAACTAGAAGAACACTAGTGTTCTTAAAGACATATAAAACAATTTTTTTTGTCTTTGGCACGATGAATAGCTAGAGAGCACTGAGATTTGTTTAAGTTTTCCATTAGCAGAATAGGGTAAGTATTACCAGCGCATAGAAAATAAACTGCCAAAGCATATGCAAAACGTACAGTTGCAAGCGCAAACCTTATTGCGCACGTGCGGCAGTGAAAGTCTATTTATGTTCACTAACGTTCTTAAGGTTAACACAGAAGACATTTAAGACTACAGCTTTATCATTCGATGAAAAAATAAAATTTAGCGTAATAAAAAATAAAAGAGTACACACACACACACACTGCATATATGCTTATGTTCGAATCAATCTACTACTTCAAATTAATAAACATGCAATTTCTTTTTAATATTACAGCTTTAAAGCAAAGCCGATATATCCCTGAGCTAAAACTGCACGAATTGCGTGCTGAAAAATACAATGGAATGGTAAGGCTCTTGAAGCCTGGTTGTAGAACTATTGTATTGATTACTGACTTAAGGACTCGTCCTAAACTCATACCACCATTTCATAAAGCAGTCTGGCCCTACAGAAGGACAAAAACATTGATTTTTGGACATATGCTAATCGAAAAGGGCTTTTCATGGTACTCGGAATTACTGCGTTTGTCGTTATGCGAAAGTAAAAATTTGCAAATAAATCCGAGAAATTGTGTAGGTACAGTACTAGCCTTGAACGGACATCGTAAATACTTCTGTATGTATCATGCGAAACATCCTGAAAGTGACCGAGGTGCCAAGGTAAGACTTCTTTTGACAAGAAATACAATTTAAAGTAAGGAGGCACCACTAGACACATTTTACACTTCCATTTGGTTGAGGGTACTCGATAGTGTATGAGTGTTTGCTCGATATTGAACGTAAAATGTCACATTATAGTTCGACGCAAAACAGCAGCCACGTTCGCTTCATATTTAAAAGAAAAATAAAGTAAAACATTGTCACAAAACCACATATTTGATAAAATTGATGGATTTAGGAAAATTACTCATTCTCAGAAATTTCAAAATTTGACAAAATAATAAAAACGAAACTATTCTCATGCTTTTTGGAAACGATAAAAACTGGACATATAAGCTTATTAGAAATTATTTAAAACTATTCTTTAGTGTTTATTTGAGTAGCGTAGGTAGGCAAATTTAATACGAAAAAAAAACGCCTGAGTGATCGAGTACGCGAAGAGTTTCGACTAACAACTCAATGGTTGTGGGTTCAAATCTCAAGTGCGGTAGAGTTTTCAATAAAACCGATAGCCTTTAGATGGGAGGGCTTAAAGAGTTAGAATTTAATTTCTGGCTATAATTAATAATAATAAATTCAAAAAAAAGCAAAAGCGATCGAGTACCATCAAATCAGATTTTTATCTTTCGTATCGTACGATAGCGCGTAAACTGACTCCATCGCGTATTGATTTATTCACGGTAATTTTATTTCTTAGTTTTTAAATTAATATTTTTAAACAATCTACAATATTTTTAAACAAAAAACATAATTTTTATTCTTGATTTTTTTTTCGACGGCATTCAGATTAAATTCCAAGATCACGCAAAACTCTCCCCATATTCGTTCACAATTAGTAGCACATTTACAAGATTTTTGTTTTCTGAGATTAATAAGCTAATCAGCATTATCGATAAGTAAAAAATAAAGCTATAATAAGTATAAAAATAACGGCGATTCTTTATCTATATTTAACATTATACTATTAGATTCGTTGAATCTTTTTTGAATATAATGTTTCTGCAGCTTATATCTTTTCTGGTACCTTTTGCAGGGTATGGAAAGTATGGCTAGGCAACTTATAGAAAAACAGGATGATCCTGAAACCAAAATATTTTTCGCTAATGGTAGGACGGATGAGTCGGATGATAGTGAACCACGAATTCTTTTAGAGGAAAATTTGTTGGAGGGCTTAAGCAATTGGTTGGACCGCCTATTTGAAGGAACAACGCACAGATATTACATAAATTACTGGCCGGAGTTCTTTACAAAATAGATTGTTTAACTTTTAAGAGCTATTACATTGTTTTAAAATTATCATACAGTTTACTTCTCGAAACTACTAAACGGAAATTGAAACAAAGGGAATGTCAGATAACAAAATAGTTTCATTGACATTGTATCTATCGTGCAAATAAAACCATTCAAAACAAGTTATGGAACGCGATGAAATTCTGTGCTCCAAGAAATCTGGAAATAAATGACTTCGTTCTAATAAAAGTAAGAAGAGAAACGAGCGCAGAATTCGCTCGATCGGACCTCTTTTCATTGTCACATGCTTGGTGAAAATAAGCTGATAAATTTTACGTATCTATATTTTGAAATTTAATCGATTTTTAATCGATCGGAAGATGTTGCGGAGCCTAGCCTGACGATATAAAGTTTCAAGTACCATATTTTCAAATTATCCTGCTCTTTACCATCTGGCGGATAGACTTCGCATGTTGGCTTACACTACTACTAAGTGGTTATATTAATAATTTCATTAACTTTGTAAATAATGTTTTCATAAAGTTAATGCGGCCGTCTTTACTTTAGTTTTTTTCTTTATAAGTTTAAAAGAAAATACCATGTGTTGATGATAGAGAGAGAATAGAGTTGTCTTCAACATATGGCAACGTCAAGCGTTAAACCTAGGTCATGAAGAAGAACAACAAAATAATTCACCTGTTTTCTGGTAAAAGTCTAGAGTTCCCAGCTAAAATGCATGAATTTGCATGGTTCTCTGTTAACAATATATGGTTTTCTTTTAAACTTACGTTTAAAAGAGTCGAAAAACCATCTGCTCTGAAGACTATTTTATATGCAAACATGGTTAAGATATAGTTTTTTATTCATCACGTGTCAATCATATTTTTCCTTTTTTCTTTTTTTTTTTTAATAATTACGTGAACCCATCTGTTGGCTTGGGACTGCACTTGTATTTCTTAAAGAAAAAATCAAATAAATAAATAAACATGAAGATACATGAACATTTCTTCATTATGCTTCTTTGTAACATTTTTTAATTATGTTTGAAGCGCTGGATTTGCGGAATTCACTTACAGTTGCTTCGACATTCACATACCGAATATAGACGATTTGTAAAATGTCGATTACACCACTGAGTTTATCGAATTGTCGCAATTGATCGATTTGCTTTCATGAGTGACACGTCTTTTTTCATTCTTAGGTCGCGAATAGCAGCTTTTAGTTGGAATCTCCTATTATATTCCCAAAAATTTCAGTTTCAACACAATGAGACACATTTCGTATCATCTTACTTCACAAATACGCGGTTTTCCCTTCCGATTAAACTTGTTCGAGCTGAAGAAAGCTATACTTTGCTACGAACGGCACGTACAGCATCGCAGTACGTTTTATATATTGTCATAGAACGAATTCTCGAAATAAAGTATTGTACGGGAAGTGGTTGAGTAAGTGGGTCGATTTGAACCATTTTGAACAGCATTTGCCATTGACACGAACATATCCGTCTACAAAATTCATCGAAATATCTCAGGAGTTACGACCTGTAGATTGAACGCAAAAATATATGGACAAACAAAGGCAAGCTTAGATCAATTCAGGAAGCGATTTTAAATTGTAAATGATGCGTTTAGTAAAAAATGGGTCAAGTGCTGGGTGCACTAAATTAAGCTGGTTTATTAAAATACAAATTTTTCATGGTTAATCACTGTAAATAGCCAAATCAATCGGCCTGTTTAACTGAAAATACTGCCACAAGATTTCATTTTGCCAAACCGAACTGCTCTTCAATTTTCTGTGACGGTTAGCTCTCTTTCTTTAAGTTATTATTTCAAAAAAACTTTACGTTTACGAGTTTTCCATTTTTGCTGAATGAAATCTCCCTTCCCCCGCCTATTTGAAAAATTGCCGTTATTAGGCCGTGCTTCCATCACAATTGGCGAAAAATCATATACATACAAAATGTAGTGTGTATAGACTTTTGATTCTAATTTCATGTGAACGATTACAAAAGTATGAGCAATTATTCAAAAAAATAAAATATATATCCCTAAAAATAGTATTATATCTGTGATACAATGTAAAACTGATATATTATTTTATTTTGTAACCAAATATCGTAAAATCTACTAAAGATGCATATAAGTACTTGCTTGTTTTGCTCTATTTTTATACTCTGGTTTGATTGGTTTGTGAATGCATATTGATGTTCCGTTGAAAGTCATTTTGATTCGTTTCTATTTTATTATCACGTGTTCTCTTAACGCGAGAAATTTTAGCAGCAAATCAGCTGTTTTTAGTTTCTTAGGGTTGCAAAGCCTTATAAATATGCTAGGTTTTTACCTTCACAGCAATTCTTATGGCTACTTTTTACGACTTTGCGTTAATCTGGTATTTCCTTACTACTATATTGAAGTTTTTGTAGACGTGGTTTTCGAGTTTTAGAAGTTTGCTTCCGCTAATAAATTATTATAAAGTGTTATAAAATGTCTTCATCAGGTTTGTTATAAGAAAATGTATCTCTAAAATGCGAAAATTGTTTTGAATAAAATGGATCTTATATATAAAGGCAAAAAAAAAAATTCGTGCAAGCAATACGGCTATCGAATTTGGCGATAATATGTGTATTTGTACAATGGAGAAAACAATTTTGCCGTATGTGTGGTGCTGCCTGCTTTCTATGTATATTATCTGGAGTGTGGGATCGTAACTTAACCAAATACTAACATGCAAGGCCGCTAGAAGAAAGTTATTGCAGCTTATTGGGGTTTTTAAAATGTGTATACATACGCACATACATTAATAACTATGTATGTATACTCGCTCGTCTTTGTTTACTGCCAGTTCAGATCTTTGGATAAGTTGGAGAGATACGCATTTCATTTAACATGATTATGATGCATAAATGCGCTGAGGTCATGCGTATAAACCATCGCAATTTCCATATATTTCTGATATCTGCGATATGTAAATCCGATCGCTTCTTTATATAGATTAGTGCTAAGGCTAACTTTGCACATAAGCTAGTGGATCGGACTCTAATTTTTTGGGGCTTTACGCTTCGCTTCCTTATTGGGAGCTGGCTCCATCTTCCGATTACTTATTTCTGCGTGTGTGCAAACCTACTTATTTTAATTAATTCTAAGAAATTGCTTATCTTTTTCGTACAATTGTGCAGCAGCACAAAATAAGCCATAAGTTAGACTTTGTGCATAAACGATTCAATGCGATCATTCTTTTTGACCAAAATTATATTTCAAAATGGTATCGAAAAGAAACAGTGAGACGAAACTTAGAAAAATCTTAATTTATTGACTATGATTTTCAATAAGGGAAATAAAGGTGATGATAAAAAGAAATAAGACACATATGGGACCTGAAAGCTACTCCAAAATAATTTTTTGGATAGCCGACTTACCCTGCTTTTAAAATTTTATCTATGCAATTACGCAACACATCCGTCGTAAAGTTCCTTGTAGCATTTTTTTTAATATTCCAAATCACATGTTTCGCCCCACTTGAAAAGAGGGAGTACGCCCACGGAAATTATAAGCAATTGATTAGCACAATGTTCTTGCTTGGTATATTATTTGAAAAAATAGCAAAAATTGGCCAAAAAAAATGAAACTTCGCAATGGTTTTAATTTTTTAATCACTATTACTTAAATAATTGACGCTTTCCTAAAAAGATTGACGTGATTTGTTAAAAGCACCGTGCAATAACATTTTTTTATTTTTTTTGTTTAATAAACGCAATGCATAAAATATTTCTCAACAGCTATTCCGTCAATATTTTCCCTTTTATCCCATTCCTGACGTTACAATGGAGATATTCCTTAGCAGATTTCATTCAAGGTCTTTAACAGTTTAGTAAATCATTATTTGCAAAATAAAGTAGCTCAAGTCACGACGCCTACTTTTCTTATCAAAGGACGTTGAATAGAAAATTGGCATATTTTCTGGTCAATAACTTAAAAAAGAAGTATTGATGGATAGACGCTTCGGTCATTTTACGTATGGCTTTTCTTTAAAGGTATTTTCTGTGGGATCAACTGCGCGCACCAAAGACCCGTCAGAAAGAGAGCCACAATTCATATCTGGGACTGTTTAGCTAGATCATTAACAGCAAAGCAATAATTAAGTGAGAAATATCATGGCGGAAGAACAGACGTATAGATGACCTCGAATCAATGCGCAGATGAAGAAAGGAAGACATTGTTTATATTATAAACTTAACCGAATATAATCTTTTTTTAATGAAATTAAGTACTATTCCAATCAGCTAGATTCGTCTTACTTCTGTTTTCGTTTTTCTTACTAGATCAAATGCGCAGTGGGTTATTGTTCATTGAAAAATAATATCAAGAACCTCTCCATCCTCAATCAACTATAGCTAAGAAAAATGTCGGAAAAAATAAATACAGAATTTCCTCATTTGATTTTGTCGGACCGAACATTCAATAGCGCATAGCTCTACCTGTAGCATATATAGAAAATAATCCGTAGTAGTTGCGTCGAACTGTAATGAAAGTTCAAATTTATTGTATAATAATGTATTACAATTAACAATTTTAGGAGACAAACAACGCAAAAAAACACTTTTGTCAAGTGTTATAAGCGATCTCACATTTCGGCGCAGGAATTTAAGAAGATGAAAAAAATTTGATTCTCATAAATTGCAGTTATTAAGGACATTTGAAGCGTGAAGTCGTACCTTCTGATACGTTTTGCATTACTGCATCAGTTCTCAACAGATTCTTATGAAGTATCGAAATTTCATTTTTTTCGTTTTTCTAAGATAGAGCTGGTAGCTGGTAGATTCAGCCATAGCCGAATACAATTTTCTTGGTTGTATGTTGCACTGTTAATGAAATGCTTGTTTTTTGGTGCTTTCATTTTCTCTATATATAATTATACAACTCTTTTTAGGTAAAAAAGGAAAAAAGAAGGGCACTGTTATATCTCTTCAATCATTTTTATCAAATGGTGACGCTCCGGTCGGTACGACGCAAGTAGCGAAGAAGATCCGGAACTTCGATGCAGAAGATAGTGACGACGGCACAACTGCTTTACCACTAGTTTATCAACTTCCGACAGCCCCAAGAGCAAGTCGGATTTTTGACGATGGCGCTATCCCGCACAAACCGCCATATATAGCATATCTAACAAATTTGCCATTCGATATAAGTGAGGATGATATATATGAGTATCTAAATTCGTATACCATATTGTCCGTACGGTTGCCTCGTGAGGACAGTGAATCCGGACGAGTAAGAGGATTTGGCTACGTCGAACTAGAAACAAGAGATGATTTAATTCAAGTTTTAAGTTTGCCTGACCCTTCCATAAAAGGGCGTCGAGTGCGAATAGATTTGTCTAATGAAACTGAGCAACACAACAAAGGACCGAAAGGAAGCAGGCGTGGCTTTGATAACAGCGGTCATTACGCGGAAAGTAAGGAATCTAATAACTGGAGAAGAGATAATAACGATTCTAATAATCTTAGTAATAATTTCGACCGGAGTTTTAAAGATAAAAAACTTAATGCAGACATTAATAATCCCGGCTCATGGAGAGCAGGCAACCGTTCCAATATTCCAGACGTTTCACCGAAAAGACAATCCTCCAAAGCCTTATCGTTAATGGAAGAATCTGTGCAAGAAAGACCAAAATTAAATTTGAAACCGCGTACACTGCCTCTTCCAGAAATTGTGGCGCAGCCAGACGCTGAATTCGAGCTAAAGCCTTCAAACAAATCCGAAAATTTTATCAAACCATGCGGAGTATCTTCTGAAAAAGTTTTCGGTTCAGCGAAACCTGTTGATACCACGGCAAGAGATATGGAAATTGAGGAACGGTTAGCAGAATACAGAAAAAAAGAAATTTTGCAACACGATGCTGACGTATGCGAAAAGATAAAGGAACTCAAACTTGAAAAGCTTGATAAGGAAAATTCTAACTCGGAGACTAATTGGCGCCATAAAGGAGATACAAATAGGAATGTCGACAATAAAGGTAATTTATTTCTCTTTTTATTTAATTTTTAATGAAATTTTTGTTAAAAACGGTAAACTTGAAAACTTAGTGGTTTTCCTATTTTAAACTCTAGTGTTTTAATCATCCATTTTGTTTTCGAATGTTATAACTTCAGTTATATCGTCAAATTAAAAAAAATCTTGCAACCTAAAAATATTGAGTAGCGTATCTTTCCATATATCTAGGCATATATTAGGGCTAGGTTATCTTTACTGTTTTTATAAATGCTGAACGCTTGTTTTTTCCAAGTCTGTTCGGAACACGGAAAGGGATTCAGAATGGCGTATCGGTTTCTGCCCTTGCGTTCATTAGTTGGACACTTTCTCTTAATTGTTAACAATAAACTTTGCGATAGATGTAAATCCTAGAGACAATGTATCAACCCCAAAAACTATGGAACATTTTCAAGTTTTAGCTGATTTGAAAGACGTCTAAAAAAGATAAAAGGTGCAAAAAGTATAAAGATAAGTTGTCATTATAAACACAATTCAAAATAATACTGCTGTAGAAATAAGTTATTAAAATGCTTGTAGGATTTAGATGATAAAAGCACGCCCACCACGTTGAAGAAACTAATGCGAACTTAGGAAACCACCGACTTTTTTCATGTTCTCCCCTATAATTTCGGACCCTGTAATGACTATTTTTAATATCTATGATCAAGATGTTCATTAGGATCAGTTTCATTTTCGGTCCGAAAATTGTGTCGATCGGCTTAATACTATGCCCATAATAATTGGAACGTTCGCGTGGTTAAATGCTATAGCGTTCATTTTCTTTGATCCGAAGTGACATGAATAATGTAACATTAAAATTTTAAAGTCGATTAATTAATATAAAAACGTGGTTAATCAAATAAATAAATTGACTGTCATTTTTTGCACTTTATTAAAATTTTGCTGCCCGCAAATGGTTAACGACAAAAATTTAATTCCAACGTATTCCCAGCATATTAGCATGTTTTTCACCCAATTACAAGAGAATTCAACATAAATCGGAATTAAATTACAATTGAAATGTTATCGTTAATTATGGACGTGCTAGTGTACCTATCGTAACCACTTGTAGACAGATGGAAAGAAAGCTCCGATTCAATTCGTACGCAATCGTTTCTCAGACCAAAACAAGTGGGAGCAGTAAATTTCTCGAAATTTCAATTCCTAGCTTGAACACAAAAATACATGTACACTCATCCCTAGAAGCTGATTCTGAATCAACTGTAATAAAAAGCGTTGCCGTCTATCTTGAGTTCCCCTGGGTTCTGTACAATATTTGCGCAAACACAAGAGTTATAGAGTGTAAAAGTAAATAAAACGCGACAATGATTATCCCGAAATTAGTTCGGGTTTAGTAGTTATATGTAAATGTCAGGAAAAATCTCCATGTGTATACAACATGATTGAATTATAGTATTAATTAAATCCGATCAAATTTTTTTACCTTCCAAAGAAATTGTACGTAGGTATTAAAGGACTTTCGAAGATTGTTCTATTTAATTAATTATTTATATGTGCGCCCAATGTAAAAGAACAAAAATCCTATAGTTATAGCACAGTAAGGCAATTTGCTCCAAAATGCATACAATAGAATTACGCTTAGTAAACGATTCTTAGTACACTGTTAATATTACTTTATTCGTCATAGTCACATTATGGTTAATATGCTTCTATGGATTGCAATAATGAATGGAAACGATAGCGTCCCAAGATTCGTGAAGGTGCACATCTGAGGGCATAACTCGACCTCCAGTCAAATAATGTAATGCGTTGCGTTTGGCAATGCGAGAAATGATGAACAGGAAAATCAGCGTTTCCATCGCAACCGTTCCGAGACGGAACACATTTTTAACGATTCAGCAAGAAGTAAGAAAACTTAGGAGAAAGCACTGGAAACATTTACTCGTAACTCGCCGTCCAACCAACATTTATTTCGCTGTGTTTAAAACAGACCAGTAAAAATCATTTAAACGATTTTTTTTGCCTAGAAATCTCAGAAGCTCTGCAGTGTTAGCGTAATGATTTTATCCGAAAAGTAGCGAAAGATTTCTTGTAAAAAGGTACATGTTTAATTCAATCTAAGTTATAAGAAAAATATCCATCCATGAGTAAACATTTATAGAACAATATTTGCTGTGCATTATATGTGTAGTTGAACGCTATATATTCTTTAGTCCAAGAAATTCGGAATATATAAATATGTGAGTTACAGTACTAAGTATATCTAACAAGACATCTTAGTTTTGATTAATTAAAAACTTGTCTTGCGCCAAGCTAGCTAGTTGATGGGGAAAGCGAATTAAACGCGAAAATTGGTTTAGGCTTGTAAATCAAAAATTAATCATTAACTAATTACAATTCAATTATTTTTCAATCAAGATTAAACTAGATTTCTCGTACCAATAAGAGTATAAGATCTTTTCCGGCACAAATAATTAATCAAAGTACGAAATAGAGTACCTCAAATAATTATGCAGTGCATAAAATTAGACATTGGAAATATTGTAACTAATTGTGTTCGGTGATATAAAATATTCCAATTGCTGTCCTAAAACTGTACATACTAACAGTAGCCTCGATATTAGGTAGTAGCGGCTTTCATGGAAGAATTACTTTTATCGTACGACTGGACTTTGTGAAAGGCTTATTTTTATATAAAGCTTTTGGCGCGAATGAAGATCATATTTCCAATATTGACAAACGATGAGAGATCAGAATTTAAAATCCTTGACGGAACCCGCGATATTATGTCGTATGTATGCTTATTGAAAACGTATTTGGCACATTTACATAGATGCAAAGTCTAAGGAATAATGGCACTTTATTCATAATACTATTTATCGTATATACTACTTTGTTTTCTTGCTTATAATTTCTATGTTTTATGTAAAAGTGGTAGCGGGAAAATGTTGATCTACTTGAAATCGATAGGGTTAGCAGTCCAGTAAACATGAAAAGTGCAATAGTCAAACCGCCCTTAAGAGAACTTCTATAAAGCACAACCTGAATTAACTATCACCCTCTTATTTTAAATGTCTCAATAAAAAAGTTTAAATTTTTATAAATTTAAGTAACGTAGCGCCTTGCAGACATACTGTAAATAAGTCAACGAGCGCAATATATCGGAAATCTCAATTTCCTTTGCGCCTAGGCGTGTTTTATTTAGGTCTTCATAAAACATTTTCTATCATATTCAAAAAAATGTAAGAATTGGAATTTAGCCTATTAATAGACTTCGGATAACAAGATTTACTTTTGGGGCGAACCATCCATTTTATTAATTGCGGAAATGGAAGAGTAGCCACAGCAGCAATTGAAACGCATTTATTACATGTTGTATAACTTTAAATTACGTATTTAGTATTTCTTCTTTTCAGACAACCGAAGAGAATACAGGGAATCAAACAATTACAATAAGGGAAATGGAAAAATTGAAAGGTAAGTAAAACTCTTCGAATATATTAATCATTACTTTAAATGAAACGGAATACAAAAATTGCTTTAATTTGTAGATAAAAAAAAAATTACAATCAAAACTCTTACATACGGTTAATATGTAATCGGTGAGCCAAATTGTGAACTATAAACTTTTTCCAGAATAAGACAGACGAGAGTACGATACGAACATTATTTTCTAAATTATCTGTTAGCACGAACGCAAAATTTTTGGCGCTACTTCTACTATAGAATTTTCCAGGCCTACTTCGTGTGTAATAAAACACATATGTTCGTAAAAAATGGCGTTGGTGGTAAATATTTACAGCTCTGAAATGTCAGCGAAAACCAAACACGACTAAAACTATGCGGCCAATATAATATAATTTGCTCTTCTAAATGTGCAAGGTGGATTTAGACAATTAATGAAGATTTCTTGTAACAAATGGTTTTTAGGGTCGCGCAACTTCGGCGTAGCTAATCCTATCGACAACACATTAAAGCGCGAGTTAATTTTTTTATGATATTACTATAACGTTATAGCCCAATTTTCACCATCGCATATTAAAAATTGGATTTTTTTGCTTTCTTGTGAAAATCCTAATTAAGGTGGTATACAAAAAATAGGCCGAGAAAGTCCAAATCTGGTACAGTTATTTTTGTTTTTTTGTAAATTACTATTACGATATAATTTTCTTCATGAACCATTGAAAATTATACCTTTTTGTCGTGTGAACTTTAGCTCTCGATAAAAAATTGCCTCAGCCGATCTGAAGTTTCCATACGAACGTAGAATGTCCATATACTACTAGTAAGGCGCTATTGCTGAGAAATTTTGAAAAGAACCATTTCCGTCGAAAAAATGGACCAACCCAAACCATTTTCAATAGCGTTCGTCCTTGGATCGAAAGACGTCACTGTACCAAATTTCATCGAAATATCTCAAAAATTACCACCTGCAGCTTCAACACAAATTACATGGACTACAGACGGACAGACAGGCTTAGATCAATGCAGATAATGATTCCGAATCGATAAGTATAATAACAGGTTGGTTTATCTTAAGCCCTTCTGCGTGTTACATACGCCCACACTAACTTATACCTATTACTATAGGCGTAGAGTATAAAAAAAGGCGTGGGGTTTATTTCTATTAAAAATGGATTCAAAAACAAAGTTAAACTTCTGAAAATTTTATATATTACAGTATTATTTTGGCGATAACGGTTTGTCACCTTCATGGCTTCTATTACATTTACTGTTATTATTGATTTTTGTGTTAAAAACATTTACCAAGACCAATGTGTCGAAATGTTTCCGCTAGAAATATTTCGATATAAAAGACACGCCATCCTCTGGTCAGAAAATCGCCGACAACATCAGAATAATTCTTTAAAAAAAAATGGAAAACTCGTATTTTTAACCAAAACAACCTGAATTAAATTAATTTAAATTTTAGAGATTTGTAGTGTCATAAGTAAGTAATAATTAGTAAATCCGCGACAATGCCTGTGTGAATTTCCTCCGATGGTTGCAATGGCACTATTGTCATGAATTTTGTTTCTAGCTCTTCGTGATTATATTGCTTCTTATTTTACTTTATTATACAGTAAAAGCTCCTTACTCGCGCTTCCTTTATTCGCGGCTTCACTATTTGCGGATTAAAAAAATGCGATCCAATTCCCATATTCGCGGCTATAAATTTCTTTACATATTTAAACATATTTAAAAAAACAGAATTTAGACTTTAAAGCACTTCTAGTTTTGGCAAACGCACCAGGTCATCCTCGCGAACTTGAAACTACGCATCCAAACATAAAAGTAACATTTTTACCTCCCAACACGACGGCTTTGCTTCAACCTATGGGCCAAGGAATAATCCGGGCCTTTAAACTCTATTGCATTAGACGAACCTTCAAAATCATGTTGGATAATATGGAACGTAATCCTGATATGAATGTTATGGAATGCAGGAAGAAATTTGACGTAGCAAAATAAATCGTAAACATAAAAGAATCATTGGAAGAACTGAAGCCACACACTTTGAAGTCACCCTGGAAAAAACTGTGGCGTGCTCTGACTGCGGAAAATGACGAAGAGTCTGTGCAAATTCAAACTTTGACTGCAAACATAGCCGAAATCGCGAATGGAATAGAACGAGATGGGTTCGAACAGATAGAATCAAGTGACATTCAGGAATTGCTTGAATCGCAAGATGAAGATTTGACTGAAACCGACTTGGAGGAAGTATTAAGCTCACCGCCCATTCAAGAAGAGGCTTCAACAAGCACTGGAAATGTGACATTTAATTTGAAAAGTCTTCATCAGTCTGAATTGAAGGAGCTTTTAAAAACTGCCAAGCAAGGGAAAATTACAAAATTCTTCAAACCACTACCTAAGCCTGAAGATAATTTATCAAAATGTTCAAAAACTTAATTAAATTTTTTTTTATTTTGTCACCTAAGAACGTATCCCCTATAAATTCCCATTTCGTATTCACGGTTTCTGTATTCGCGGCATTTTTATGGAACGTATAGCCCGCGAATAAGAACCTTTTACTGTATACAGTTTTCCGTTCCGTTTTGTATTAGTTCTACTTCTCTTGCTCCATCTCTTCACTTTAATTGGTTTCGCTATTTTTCCTTTTTTAATCGAATGTTTGTACACAGGAGCCGTTTGTGACTATGGTTGAGAATTGGGATGTAGGTCAGCACGACCAATAAGAGGAGGAAATTTGCGCAAATTTAATAGACCGTCGACGGTGATTTGTAAGTTAGAAGAAAAGATCGCCAGAGGAAAACAAAAGTGAATACTTGCTCAAAGATCGTTTAATAATGATATCTACTGCCCAATAAGCGAAAAAAAGCACAATAAGTTACTGGGTAGCATTGGTGAATTTAAGTTAGTGTTTGATTCTGTAACGATGTGGCGTCTACGTAGTTAGAGCAGGGTTTTGTGTGTGTTTTGTCAGTTTCCTTTTGTCATTGGACGTCGTCTAAAAGACAATGACCTGAAAGACAAATATGCCAGCGGTGGTCTTATCATTTGCGTCATGTAGCGGTTAACTATTAATTCCGCTTATAATTGGATTCTTTTGCTTACCCTTACAAAGAAAAAAAGACAAAAACAAAAGAATGTAGTAATACACTGATCCCATTGGACCGGTAGTTTTAAACAGTCCATGTTTGGCATCGTCTAAATGTGGTCGTGTTTTAATGTGTGTATGTTTCATTAAATTATTAATTTTTAATGCAAAAGTCAAGAAATATAAAATTATTGGACAAAGTAGGCATTTGACGTAAATGAGAATGTGATGTAACACACCAACATATGAAATAAACTAATAAACTGTATGCAACAAATATTGTTTGTGTAAAAGTCGCCAGTTAAAAGTATAACCAGCATGTTATATGAATGATTCCATTTTTTGTGCATTTTGATATATTTACGAATATTGCAACGAAATATGGCCAGTGTTTGAAACAGACATCAACAATTCGTCAATGAATAAACCAAGGATGTGAACCATTTTTATGTCGACATCTATTGGAAGTTTATGTAATGTTGAAAGGTTGGCTAACAACGACGTGTGCTGCAAATGCGAAATTTGCATTTCTAACATGATAATAACCTTGGGGTAACTTGAAATTCCTTAGGCTTTTGAGCTATGTTTCAATTTAACAGCTTAGCATGCTTATAACAATCACATATATTAGTGGAAGCTGCCCATAGAGTGTAGTTTCCAGTTTACTGTGGCTTAAACGCTGCTATACCATGGGCTTATAAACCAACGTGACAATCATTATGTTTTTGAAAGTCAGGAAAGAAAATCGAGTACAACATTGGACCTTTGCCTTTAATAACAATTTAAAAACCTTGTGTGGAGAACTCAGGAGAAAATTGTCAACGACATTTCTGTCTAATAGGTGGGAAAAAGTTTTGCTAATTTCCAACCGCTTGGAAAATATTGAATTTTAGCGCATGAGCTAATTGTGCAAGCCAAAATCGAGTTGCTTCATAGCGAACATCTTTTAGGCCTATATTTTCTTACTTGAGCTTGTTTCATACATTAAACGTATAAGGGCTATAGACTACTTATGTAGTCCTTCTTTGAGACATGAATCGAAATTGAATCAATTCTCGCCACCGCGGTATTAGCCACACGTTCTGTGGCAGGAGAGCTTCAGTCACAAGAGACTTTATATCGGACACAGAAAAAGTATATTGTCCCGATACTTAAGGAACCTCGAAGCCATTAAGGACTATTATAATAGATTATAATGTCTACCGTAACACAATATTTTGAAAATCTATCGGCAAAACTTGTTAAGTAATAGTGTTTCGACATTCTAAGGTGATGTGAAAAATTTGATTCGGGTTCGATTTTTTGAACCCGTTTTTATAAACGTCCCCAACAAAATTGAATCGTTATATGGTAGAAAGGTATAATTTTCAATATTTCATGGTGAAAATTGGATTATAATGGTAAATTGATAAAGAAATCAAATTTACTATATGGGTCAGTTCTTGGACGTGATTGCATATAAAACGAATAGTAAGCTTTTCGAAGAAAGGCTTAATTTTTAACATTGTGTGATGAAAATTGACCAAAAGTAGCCGCTTAGTAGACAGATTAACACTAGGACATATGAATCTAAGTTTATTTTTTAGACTCTAACAAATATAGAAGTTATTAGGAAAAGCAAGCCTATATATGAAGACAAGGTGTAATTTCTACTTTTACATGATGGAGCCTGAAAAATAATAAATTTTTAGGAAATATCTTTTGCTTACGCTAAATTTGGATTATGTAATGTGATATTTTGGGTATTGAGCGTCGAACAACGTCTGCTATGCTTATAGTAAGTAGGTTGATACTGGTGGGTAAATTATCTGCTGCGAATGCACAATTGATACAGCTTCATTGGTCACTAAAGGAATTGTAAAGGAAATGACGATGACTTTTCCAATTAGTTTTGCTATAGCCCATTAGTAAAGTTTTCGTTTATGATTGCTTAGAAACTCGAAGAAAATATGACTAATCAATGGTCGGAATAGCAATAAGCGTCGGTATACCGTTCAGGACTAAATCCAAAAAAGGAGTACACAAGTCGGTTCGGTTGGTGTGTAAAATAGTCGTCGAAAAAAAAGTTGTGATTTCATTCAAAACATTTCTCGATAAAATTTGCTCTTGTAAAGCACCGATTCCGAAGCTTGACACTTATAAGAAAATCACTTATAACAAAATCACCCTTTCGGTTCAAAGTTTTGCGTGACTGCGTTTTAAGTATACTCTTAAGCTCACATGAACAGGATCCGTGAGGAAAATAGACTCTAATGAACCCCAAGGAATTTCCATTACCACTGCGAGTATCCAGATCCACGTTTTAAATTCTATCAAATTTAATTTAAATTCTATCAGACGGAATTTCGTGGAATACCAAGATACTGTGGATTAAACTCCCCCACTTTACTAATTCGTCCTGTCAGGACAAGTACAGTTCGAAAGGTCCAAATCGTCGGAGTATTTTAACCAAGTTTGGGGAAGTAAACATATGTTGGTGCTACGGTTGATTGAAATATTAAGAAGATCAATGGATTTATTGCGGCCTGAAATGATTTTGACAAAATATTTTGAACAGTTGAACAAAAATATCTGCTAGCTTATTGTGTCTGCAGGAAATTGTTCTTTTTCAATTGTAAACACCTTACGATTGTTACCAACATCAAAAGTGATTTCATTTTCTGTGCAAACATTAACATTACCCTTAAGAACTGAGGCAAATGACTGTTTATGTTGCACATTCATTGAAATGACCGAATTATTAACATTAGCGGGATATATTATCAACAAATCTTACATTAGCTCTATGATGAGAGCTAAAAACGTCAAGTTATATTGCTCGACAAAAAATCAACCTGAAGAAGAGTTATTCTAGAACTTTGCTCTCTGAGCAGGGTTTGCATTATTCAATTTGTGTCTTATTTGTATAAAAAGACCACGAAGTGGGTATTGTTTTCAATGCAATTCGCACACCCTACGATAGAATTATAAGGACGATCAGCAGTCCTGTACTACAAAAGCATCCGATATGTTGAAACATTTGAACGTTTCGTCACTGAAATAGCTTTCCTTTCTGTTTTCGCATGACGTGAGCAAGAGTGGAACAACGTTTCAGCGCAACGCATTTAAACGTGCTGTACAGTTTTCAAAATAAACCATGAAAATAGTATCCTCCAAAAGGATTATTAAAAAGCAGTTTCCAATGATCATTGCACTTAAAGTTGAGCACAATGAAGTCGACTTTAGCTTTTTTAGTTGTAACTCCTTCCAAACCATAAAGCACAACTTCGAACAGTTTATTATCTTTACTCTCGTGAATAACAAATTTATCTCTTCTTTCTTTTAAGATTTTTACTATTCTTTATTATGCACATCCAGAGACTTGCAAAGTACTTTGACAACAATTGGAGTTATTTCTACATAAATTTCTTACTTAGACAAGCAAATCACAACTGTGGCAATGTGACATTTTTACAAATATTGTTACGAATATTCCTTATACATATTATTCTAAAAATTTTAAAACCAAATACAAATTCGGAATACTTTACGTGCCCGCGCAGCTGGCGACTCCTGGATAGATTAGCAAGAATTCGCAGAACATTTCACAGGTACAAAGGGATTAGCATCAAAATGTCCCAATGACGTTTAGTATTGGTAACTCGCTTGTAAAAAGGGTATATCAATAGACCGTTTGCAGAAGGTAAAGTTAGACGATTCGGGACAATTGAATTTTAATAATTGAAATTTAATATGGAGAAGACCTGAAGCAACGCTAACACTTTGTAAATATGAGTTTCTGCAATTGAGTGGGATGAGCTTAAAAAAAAAGTCTAGTAAATACGTAAAATCACAAAGTGCAGTTACGTTGCAATATAAATATAAATAAATACATTGCGTTAGAAAAAAAAGCGCACGTACCTAAGAAATCTAATCTAGTCCTTCCGTTATTGTTTGCTAGAAATTGATGTTTACAATTTTGCATTTATTTTAAGGTCGGAAATGAAGAAAGGAACAAAGGTTGCTAAGAATCAAGCTCGCGATGGAAAACAGAAAGATGAGAGCAGAAATAAACGTGAGCTTAAGACAGATCGTCCTCTTCCCAAGCACGCATTAAATCAATCTGGACCAGTAAGTACCCAAACAAGCTTGTTTTAAATTATGAACGTGGACGATTATTTCAAATTGTCTACATATGTAGGATCACAACTAGAATAGATATGGGAACTTTTTTACCGCTGTTGGCACATCCTTTGACTGATTTCGCCCATTTTCTGTACAAACCCGTCTGTAACAACTTCCTATTATTTTATAAAATTTGAATCTTATGAAGACTTAAATTTTAATATTCTATAATATTAGGCCAGCTCGGCTGATTTTTCTATTTTTATACGAGTACTATAGATTTATCAGTAGGCGTGCAAACTTCTATACGTATATCTATGTGTGTTAGAGCTAACAAGTAAAATATGACATTTTTTCGGTTTTGAAAACAAAAGCGGTATTAGGTTACGTTACACTGTTCTTCGACCGATCTGGCACATTTTCAATACTAATCTGCTTCCAAAATCTTCCAATGTTTCTGCCAAGTTTGGAGCCAAGGACCAGAAGAATGGTTATCACAAACATTACATACACGGATGGATTGCCCTACATGCTTAAATTGATTCAGAATTTAATGCTAATCTAAAGTGTATATAATTTGTGGGGGGTCTGAAGCCTCTTTCTAGATGTTATAACCGTTTTGACAAAAGATAATGTGGTTAACAAAAGGTAATTTATAGAAGATAACAAGAAAACATGAAAGAAAACTCGAAGGAAGGTAAGACAGAAAAGCTATACTTAAAAACGAATGAATTGAATTAAAGCAAGTGAAGAATCACGTTCGTCTCTCATCGATTCCTACATATCTACCACATTTATCTTAACAAAAAAAACAGGAAACAAAAAATTAACTATTTAAAAATTGGCAGTTAATTTTTTTCTCTTTTGTACAAGCGTGGAAATTTTTACAGTTTTGTCTGATCTGTGTTATGAGTAGGGAGATTCTCTCTGTTTCTTTGTTGGTTTCGTGGGTCTTGGCTGGGTTCTTTTTCCCGTTCCAATTGCAGAACTGCAATGTTGTAAAGAGGATTTGGCTTGCTCCTCAGAAGGTGTTGCCGTGTCAGAAGGTGAACACAGCTTGCATCGCCTATTTCGAACAAAGAATCTTCTTAGGCAATTTTAACGTAAATGAACTTCTTATTGCTCAAAGTTTACAGAAAATGTTCCAGTTTACATTACAAGCCCTTATAATAAACAAAATGTGGTCATACTTGTAAGTTTGCTTCAAGTATCCCAATACTTTTCAATACAACCAGCTTCGGAGAATACAGAGCATGCGTTTTGTTTGGGATACGCACAAGTACGAATCCGAAAACAAATAAAGTATAGTTTTAATGAACGCAAAGTTTGCAGTCGATGTCTACATTCCTTTTGTCATTCTTTGGGAAGTTGACCGGTGCCAAAATTGAGAAGTGGCGGAAAATGTGGAAATTTGATGTCTTGGTTCATAAGTGTCATTTTCCTGATCACAGACAAAAATGGGTTTCCGAACTCGAAACTACGTGCACATCCGGCAAAGAAATTTTTCAATGTGTAGTAAATTCTGGTCTTTAGTTGATCGCAAACTTATAGCAGAACAATAAAAAGATTTACATTGTTTAAATTTGTAATTTGCATAGACGGACAAATGTTTGTAAATATTTTCTTAGGCCTTCTAAACGACGAAATGCACCAGGCCGACTAATAAAACCTCAATCAATGTAACACACATATATATATATATATTACTCTGAAGAAGTGGGTAAGAAAAGTTCATCCCAAGATAAACGTGATATTCGTAATTGTTTTTAAAATGCTTTAAAACTTACATAAATATATATATGTGCTCCACTTTGATCGATAATTTGTTGTAATTTTTCTTATAAAACTTTCCGGATATCCAAGCGAAAAGTTGAGTCAAGTGATTTTTCCAATCCTCTTTTAAAGCCTTAGAATATTAAAAGAACTCTGACAAGAGCGAAGCAAATGGTAGTCGAACGGAGCAAGGGCCGGCCTACAAAAGTGAAAGAACGAAAGCATCGCAACTAAGCTCACTGAATAGCCGTTGTGGAGCACGACATATTGATGATAAGGACGTTTAATTTCGTTTACGCCATTTAACTTTTTAATTAATTTTTAACATTAAGACATAGAGTAAATTAATTGCCTGACCAGGTTAAGACAGCTCATAAGTTCCACCCAATAGAGAACAAGTATGATCAATTCGTGCTTTGCCGTTGTTTTTGCAGTCTCCTCCACCTTGGATAACAATTCATTTCGGTTGTTATTGGCGTGATTCTTTTCTTATAGTCCACCTTGTTTCTTTGAAAGATATTCACAGATGGAAACAGCCGGTAAATTTTTCTGTGTTATCTCGTATTGCAAGCAGATACCAAGACTGTTTTTATATCAAGCCTTACGAAAACTGTTCAAAATTTATGAACTAGTGGCAAAGACGTCACGACGTTTACGTTTGCCGAATGATTGTAGAAAGTCTCGTTATTATAAATATAATTATTAAAATAGCATTAAATATAGGATGTGCATGATATGTAATCGAGTTACCTTTTTCTCTTACAGATACTACAATCGTCGAACATGTACTCAGGACTTGATGAGGAAACATCGGAATGAAGAAATAATTTAAATCTTAAAAACTAACTTTTGATGATTCATATTGTAGATACAAAATACACCATAGAAAATAAATTTGATAAAATAAACGAATGGGAAAACAGTTGAAATGCTTTTCGAAAATAATGAAATTATTCTTTCTCGAATATTTATAATAAACGAGTTTATTAATGTGCTCACAGGAGAAATAAACTTAATAATAGGTTAGGTGTGGGTAATCAAATAACTTGTTTTGGGGGTTTTGTAAATTCTTTTTGAATTTAGCAAAGATTTTACATCTGGATTTAGGGTCGAACATACCTAAATTCCAACTAAAATTTATTGGAGAATGTCAAAAGAAAACACCATAGACTGGCCGACAGTAAGACGTCCTGACTGATATCCCGATCGGCGGCTTGACTTACGTTGCACTTTATTACTCGAACCATACTCACTCAAGAAAGATTAAGAGCTTGTGTGAGCAAGCTTGAAGACTCCCGATCCCTATGGAATCCAACATCTGTACATGCAGCCAGCTCGGAAAGCCACCAATTCAGCAACAGTCAACGCATCTGTTGCTTACATCCATTATCAAAAGGTGAAGATATATTCGTTTTGCCAAAACATTCATTACATACAGAAGGAACCATCGCCATTGCAGTGCAACCATTGGGATTGATATCGAAAATGAACCAAATCAGTCGAAGAACATTCCTGCACTACCATCTTCTCTGAAAATAACTCTATTTTCCAAAAAGAAAAAAGATGTTCTTTTGTTATTACTCATTAGCTAAGCCAGAGAAGTTTATAAAACTCTTACAGTATGAACAATGCTAAGGGGCATGTACAAAAATGGAAAAGTTCTGCATTCCTAGCCTACGCATTTTGTCAATCGCTCAAAAGGCCCCAAAAATCCCATAACATGTATTCACCTTTGAACAGCTTCAAATTCAGAGTGTACCTAAGCAAGTCCGTCTGTTCATCTATTTGTCTGCTCAACTTTGTAATTCCTTGGTAAACATTTTCTCGTTGTCAAAAATGCAGATATCGCCCACAAGTTTTTAAAAGGATTTGAAAGAACCTAAACTGGTTAAGTGACATGCCTATAACGCTGACACGCCTATGCAACAAACATTAGCTTACCCAATATTATAAAGTATGGAAACTTGGTTTTCTTGTTAGATAGAATGTTGGTAATGGGTACAAAAGATTCGTTCACAACCGATTACAATTTTCTTATTTAACTGAAAGGGCATTTGTTCTTCATTTATGAATTATTCCTCGGTACTTTTTGCTACGAATAGCTATTAATTTATTTCTAATGCATTTCTTCTGTTGGATTTTTAATCTTAAGTGATAGTGACACCCTACAGGAGCAGTCAATCGGAGCATGGGCCCTGTACGAGTAACACAGTCATTGTCACATGGTTCATGTGAGAGTGTGGAGGCAACGAGAAGTAGCAACTGCGTGGCGTTCAACCAATCGGTAAGTGTTTACTTGTATCGACTGTTCTCTTACTATAGTTACAATCATACACCAATCGTAATTAAAGTGTTGTCTACCGTTTTGGGTATTGGCCCATGAATGACTTGATACGCGTTCCTCTTAACTACTTCGCTGTGCGATAACGTTGAAGTGTCTGCCGAAGACACTATTTAAAATATAATAATAATTAATTTCTAAATATATAAATAGATCAGACTATTTTCACGACCGCCTTCCATATTTTTGAAATAGTGCTGCATGCAAAACTTTTTCAAATTTGTTTACAAAGTCAATGGGTGTTAGTGTTTCGATGCAAATTGATGTCAAGAATTTGGATTGTATAGGCAACTTTTTTCTTCGCATGTAACCATTTCTACGAAAGATAACCATAACTATGACAAAAGGTTGAAAGTTTAATTGTGGTTATATTGTGATTAAAAATTTGGGCCAGGTTAGTATATTTCCCGGACTTCACTTCATGTAACGTTTCTCATGAAAAGTAAGCTTTTCGGTGGAGGCAAAGTACAACGTTTAGTACTTTATGACGAAAATAAGCGAAGAGTAATAAGATCGTGAAAAGCAAATTAATACCCAAATATAATAATTACCACCGTAATTATGTATTGATCTGCTCTCTCTGTAAGGTCACCCCTGAGAAGTATTTCTTTACGTTGAATCATGACATCAGTTTTCGAATTTTATTAAAAAAGTTTTGAATAAATTGTGTTAGGCGAAGTGGTGTGTATTGAATGGTCAGCCTCGCTGCAATAAAAAATATTTCGAAACATGTAATCTTTCTTTCTGTTTTCTTATTTGCTTAATGTTACAGAAAGAACTGGACAAATACGAAATTATAAAGTCGCAATGAAGAGTACACTTCAAACGTTGGTTAAGATAACGTCTTGGGCACACAGGGATGTTTTCCGAGCTTCTTGGCAATGGGTAAATTATAATAAAGTAATCGCATCACAAAGCGCTATAAATTAGCAGAAGTCTGTGTCGAACAGACTAAGTGTGATACTTTGCCAAAAGTCCGTACGATTTCCTTTTGTTAGATACGATTGGATATGATAAAGTTTTATGTTATATATTTCTATGCTTCAATATGATTCTGTTTTCTTTGCAAATTGCTTTGCGTACTACTCAAAAGTTAAAAATAAAAAAGAAGAACTAACCATAAGAATGGATAATGCAACTGGGATGCAAGGTTGCAATCACTTCAAGCAAAAATTAGAGTTACCAATTTCTAATGTCTTCAAATCGTAAACGTAATGAGCCAATTGATTGCGTGCAAAAAAAAGGGAAATAGTTTCTTGTACCGCTCTGTTAGTCTGCTGCTAGCCTGTGATCCGGTATGTTCCTTATTTTGCATAATAGCAGAAGTGCGTCTATAGAATAACTAAAATGAAAAACCTTTTCCGACTTTCAAATATTAAATCAAAAACTTTTTCCCAACGTAACTTCGAACTTTTTTCAAGAAGTCGACTTGAACGTGTAATTTTAGAAGATAAATAATCAACGATTCAAAGTAATAGATTAATTCAAGAAAATATTATTTGATAATTTTCGGTCTATGTTAATAGACTGGAAATGTTATTCGGAGATATGTTCAACTGCGCAAGAAACGTTTCTATCGTTGCGTTAGAATTAGAAGGTAACTCCAAGCGATGTCGTTTGTGTATAATGTCGTTATATATTTTTAAACTTTTAATTTAGTGTTACGGTCTCCAATACTGTGATCTTATAGTCTGCAATACGTGGGAATGGACATTGTGGCCTCATTACGGCTTTGTTTAACTTTCGTTAACCGAGGCAAAATTTTAATTGGCCGTTCGGTAACAAACACATTTGAACGAACCCAATCTATTGATTGTCTAATTCTTGTTGTCATTTTTTCTGATATATTTTTTTTTTCATGATATAAAATTAACATTTGCAACAAAGCCAAACTTTTAAATATATATGAGTACATACCGATAGTTTTGTCTATTGCTGCTAAATTTGTTTTATTGAATTCGCACTTCTGCCTGTTTACATACACAAACAAGGTTACTATTCGCGTTCACTACATGAAATGTGTAAAAGTAATTTTTTGAATTGTGATCTAATATTAAGCTTATTGCCATCGTTCTACAATACATTAAATCTAGCTATTGCTGCATCTGTTCCGATCAAGCATTGTCGACCTCGAAGCAGATGTCCCCCGTGGTTTAATAAGACAATTGAATATCACAAGAATAGAAAAAACTCGCTATTCAAAAAATATTCGAAAAGTGGCTCTGCGCTCGACTATGTCGCTCACTCGGTGGCGAGGCATAGATTTAACTCCCTCAACCATCATTATTACTGCAGATACCTTCAGTTCATTAAATCCTCTCTGTTTGCTAATCCTAAATTCTTCTTTAAATTTGTTAACTTTAAAAGAAAAATTTCCACATATCCCTCTCATGTTTCTTTTAATGGCTCTGGTTCCTCGGATGATTTTGAAATCTCAAATCTATTTGCTGAGTATTTCCGACGAAACTTTTCGATTGCTAATTTCGATTTATCAGCAAACTACCCATATCCTATAACTAACTCGGTTTCAATACCTAACTTGGTTATTTCGGAAGATGTTTTCAAAGGGTTGAGTTCTCTAAAATACAGTTGTTCGCCTGGACCTGATGGAATTCCATCATGTGTACTTAAATCTTGCGCTGTCGAGTTGTGTGGTGTGATCTCAAAGATTTTTAACATGTCCTTGTATTCAGGTGTTTTCCCTTCATGTTGGAAGAGTAGTTTCCTTATTCCTATCCACAAGAGTGGAAGTAGACAATTTGTTGAGAACTACAGAGGCATAGCCAAGTTGAGTGTCTTGCCCAAGTTGTTCGAGCGTATTGTGACTCAGCATTTGGCCTTTGCCATTAATTCGTATATTTCTCCGCACCAGCATGGCTTTCGGAAAGCGCGATCTACAGTCACCAACTTGTTAGAGTTTACCTGTCATGTTTTCAAGGCTTTTTCTAGTGGCTCTCGCACAGATGTTATTTACACTGATTTAAGCAAAGCATTTGATATGGTTAACCATAGACTACTTATCTTTAAACTCCAAGCCTCTGGTTTCCCACCCTACTTAGTAAAATGGATAAGCTCTTATCTGCACAATAGATCCTTCAGAGTTTTGTTTAACTCCATTAGCTCGGATGAATTCCCCGTTACATCTGGCGTACCTCAAAGAAGTCACTTAGGTCCCATTTTATTTAGTTTATACATTAACGATCTCCCATCGGTGGTTAATTCCAGCCAGATCTTAATGTATGCTGATGATGTGAAACTGTTTTCTTCCTTCTCTGTTGAATCGCAATCACATCAGCTTCAAGGTGATTTGGATAATTTTGTTGCATGGTGCTCTTTGAATCTCCTGAAACTAAATTTGAGTAAATGTAAGAAGCTTTCATTCTCAGGAAGAAAGTCATTCATTACTCAGTACTTCATAGATTCGCATAAATTGGAGGACGTCGATTCGATTACAGATTTAGGCGTTTTATTTGACCATAGGTTACGTTTTAACTTGCATATTGAGCTCTTGATTAGCA